TGGGGGTGGGGGGTTCGCAATATTTATAGAAAATTCTGTTGAATATACGGGAAAATTATTATAAAATGCTAAAGGCCCGAATGATGTGCAAGGATGAGTAAAAATCGTCTCATGAAGAATGCCACACACATTCTTCACTGACTGTTATAATGTCAAAATAACAAAATTCTAACTTTTATATTGACAATGTTAATAGCGGTGGAGCACTGGGCTGCGTCTGGCCCCAGGGTGGCTCACGTGTGGGACTATATATAATAAACTCCACCTATATTCCTAATTTTACATCACTTGAACTGTTGAACTACAAGCACTTTGACATTGTCTTTATTCCATATTTTATTTTGTTTTCTATCTCCCTGATGCTTTAAAACAGAGGTTCTTGGCTTAGCAGTGCCACACATTTCAACACATTTCCCGCATCTCGCCAGCAATACTTTCAGCATCCCTCCCCCGATCCCACCCGTGCTAAACAATTCCCGCACCCTCTGACACTGGTTTTCGCACCCTGAGGAGTTCAGCCATCCCTGGTTAAGGTTAAGAACCTCTGCTTGAAAACTTGGCTCACGCTGACTGTGGGCCGGGGGTGTCATCAAACCCATTTTTGTGGGATCGTCATCCAGTAGGACATTTCAACTCTTTACGTTAGTCAGCGGTATAAGCCATTGGCCTGAAATTAAGCCTGCGTATGACACAATTTAGTGCTGCCTATCTGTCCGACAAGGGTTGCCTAAAAATAATGACGCATTTTTGCCGAAATAGCCATAAACTTATAGTGATAAAAAGCTCTCGAGTCTCATGACAGGACAAAAGTTCTACCTAGTATTTGGTCTTTATATATCACATATATTTAATTTGCTTTTGTTCTTATTTGTCTTTCAAAATTTTGGACGGCTAATTTACCCACTTCCCGGCAACCTGTCGAGCTTAAACTTGCCACATGGACTCATTTCCGATGACAACATATACTTTCAAATTTTCAGCCACACGCCCTGATCCCCAAAAATCATTTTTCTTGTTTTTCAAGGGTAAGATGAAGGAAATATGATGACACTGATTTCACGACATCAAATCCCCGATAAATACGCTTTATGAGATTTTTTTATTATTCTTTTTTTAAATATCGCAAATGCTTTTGGTGCGTAATATTCTCTCTTGCGTTTCTGAAATAGTTGGTGAAATAAATCAGCGGTGTAAAAGCATGGGGGAAATATTATTTGGTTTTGTTTCAAAAATATCATTGCGTAGACCCTACAGCATGGATGATAAAAAAAAATGGATGCAAGATCTTACGACGTTTAAAACACAAGGATACATCTCTCCCCCCCCCCCAATAGCACTCAACATTAATAGTGTTGATAATTAAAATTTAAAGCAAAAAATAAAGCTACCCAAATCTTAGCGGAAATGGTACGATTGTTTATTTTATTATTACCTCTGGAAGCTTCACAATAAACGTTTTCATTTATTTTCAAAACCCAGTTAATTTTAACGAAGTGGCTATTCGCACCCGGGTGTCAGAAGTGAGGGGTTGGGATTAAACAACTATTTAAAATATGATTGTTTGGTTTGTAGGACGAAATGAGGTATCAAATGAAATATAATTGAATGGACTCCATGTTTGTAAACTTACTTCTTAAGTTTAACTAAAATAAACTACCACAAATGACATCCAAATGGGATTTAGTCTAAAGGGACCCGGGTACGAATAGCCGCTATTCGGACCAGGGTCCCTTTAGACATCCCATTCGGATGTCCCAACCTCTCACTTCTGATGCCCGGGTGCGAATAGTCGTAGCCTAATTTTTTTCAATACTTTCATACCAATGCGTAACTTGGGGGGGGGGGGGGGCATTCAAAATCATGTTACTACAAAATCAACATTTAAATCTGATTCCCTTTAAATACTTTAATATCTTCATAATCTCAAAAAAACATTTTAATCTGATACTGCCATGTCAACAGGAGCACTTCCCTTTTCTTTTTTTTAAACGCACCGGAAGTGGCGTAGCTAGCGTTCTAGCGTTGGTGCCACCCGGGGCGAGCCAAGTTTTGTCGATGGACGTTTAGTTGTAGAAAAGAAAATAGCTGAGTGAAGTAGAAAGAGAGAGAAGGAGAAATGAGGCGAGAGAAAGAAGTTACTTTTTGACATTGATGACAGTCAATGAAATGTTCCTCCAAAAATGTCATGAGTCTTAATGTTCCAATGCGTTTCGTATAGTGCCATTAATATAACATGACGTACTAAGAAGACGTTCTTTTATACAGCCGAATAAGAAAGTTCGATCCCGAAACTCTCAACCTGGTACTAATTTAATCTTAGAATGGAAGTACAAAGCATACTTCATAGTATTAATAAGGATGAGGAATGACATTTGAATAAAGTTTTCCTGTGTTCGTTATATGCCGAATAATTCTTTATACTTTTAGTTTCCCATTTATTTATTTGCGGTAGGGGAGTGCTTGTAATTGTAACGTCATCTCTATTGATGTAAATCTGGTGGACTGCAACGTTTGGTTCAGTAAGCCGTACTCTCCTTGAACTTGCAAATCTCAAACGTCCCATAAACATACCCAGGCTTCAACGGGGATTTCAACTAGTGCTTTTTTAAATATTTTTTATAAAATCAGAGCACCAGGTCAAAAAGACCTGAAACAAAAGACCTTTGTTTCCCTATAGCATGTGCCATCCTCGCGCTCCAACACTGAACTTTCAACTATAAATATATGTGCATAAAACGTCAACAGCAAGCAAGAGTGACTCTCTTTTATGCCTGCTACAAATTGTGATTTTTAATATGTGAGGCATAGAAAGTGGGGAAGACAAACACAATGTCACTTTAAAGCCTCACGGCCGCCCACTCAGATGATTCTGTAGTAAAACTGAAGCTTCTCTTTCCATGGAACAACTATACCCTAGAATACAGTGGTTAATTTCCGTTTCCATAGATACGTGGCAAAAAACCTGAAGATTCGAATAACCAAAATATAATGATATCGACTACCAACTTGACTGTCGTACAATCCTGGAGACCATATTTCATTAACACTTTAAATCGAGTCTTGTTATGTTCTTATATAAATATTAACTCTTTAATATACGTATAAATTTAAATATATTAAATTTATTTTTCAACTCTTTGTATATTAAACCACGTATATCTTTAGTTTGTTTTTCTGTTTCTATTTTCAGGTCAACCAAGCATCTCTAGATACCTAAGATCACAAATCGTCACGCTTCCGGTCACAAAGACAAGCCAGTTTCGTGTCAAGCAGTAATTACTGGAGTGCTCCCTTGCATCGCTAATTTTTGTGTCAGCGCATAGAGAATGGAGGCGTTAGCACGGTCTTACGTTCATAGAAATTCTTACTCTGTAGAACAAGTAATCAACAGAAATCGGGATCCTCTAATGGCACCTGAGAGCAATACGTCAATGGCACGATTTCACCCTAACGCTTGCATCTGTTCCCAAGTGCACTTCTCATGAAACTGATATGTCCATAACAAACCTGACTTCAGCTGATGTCACGTCTTCAGGGGATGGGCCACTGGCCCAGATTCTTGTGTCCAAGACGATGACCCCGGTCCGGTCAGACCAGTTCACGCCGACAACACTCAAATTGCCGGTCCAAAGCTACAGAACAGAGGAGGTCACTACCACCGTAGCGACCTTTGACTTTAATAACACTTCCGGTATGCTGCACCACATCAATTACTCGCAAGAGTGGAGTATCGGCAACACAACCATGTACTTCACCCCCACGATGGTGAACACTAGTAAAGAAGGGGACATTATCCCAGGCTTTGGGGGATTCGGCTACCACCTCCCAAAATACGGCGAACCGGTGATGGTACTTATATGCATCATTCTCGGCGGCATGATTCTCGCCATCATTCTCGGGAATATATTCGTCATCACGGCCATCGTGGTGGAAAAATCGCTCCAGGGCGTGTCTAACTACTTAATCCTGTCTCTGGCCACCACGGACCTTTTAGTGGCCGTCTTAGTGATGCCCATAAGCCTCATCAACGAGATAAGCATCCACTGGTTCCTGGGCAACACCGTATGCGACATGTGGGTCTCCATGGACGTACTGTGCTGCACCGCGTCCATTCTCCACCTCGTGGCGATCGCCTTCGACCGATACTGGGCAGTGTCGAACATCGATTACGTCCGCAGCAGAAACGCCCGGCAGATTCTCTTCATGGTGGCCATCGTGTGGATGGTTTCGATATGCATCTCCATCCCTCCTCTCTTTGGCTGGAGGCACGATTCGGACGGCCCCGAGCTCTCCGGACAGTGCCTCATATCACAAGATCACGGCTATACAATTTTTTCCACGGTCGGGGCCTTCTACTGCCCGCTGGTTCTAATGCTTATAATTAACTTCAAAATCTACCGCGCTGCCCGCTACCGTATAAGGAAGAAAAGATTCGGCGGCCGGCCACCCAAGCAGGCGTCACTCCATGTACCCCTTCCGGTGGTTATTATGGAAGCGTCGCAGCGAACGAACACGAGGCATTCGTCCGGAAGTGACGTGAGCCAGGACGGCATTAGCATGTACATGCCTTCGTGCACCAATGCAAACGACATCACGCGGGTTGAGATGGAGTCCCCACTGGACGCCCAGGAGAACGGGCAAGCTCTCCTGGAGCAGGACTCCAGTTTGACCAGAATGCTGACCAACACATTGACAGTGCCGGCGTGTACGATGAACGTGGGCCTGCCGCGACCCGGCATGGCGTCCAACAACAACATTAGCAAACGGTTGCGGCGGGGAGACAAAGAACGCTACCGGCGAGAGAAAATGGAGATGAGGAGGGAGCGGAAGGCGGCGCGCGTCTTGGGGATCATCACGGGGGCCTTCGTCGTTTGTTGGTTACCGTTCTTTATTGTGGCCGTGGTGACGCCCATGTGTGGTCACTACTGTAATGTCCCCGAGTATGTGGTGAGCCTGTGTCTTTGGCTCGGGTATTTCAATAGCCTCATCAACCCGATCATCTACACCATCTTTAATCCCAGCTTTCGTATCGCCTTCAACAAGATATTTCTCCGGAGGATTAAATCCGTCAACAGGCTGACGTAACCCACGTTTGTTTGCCCGCCACCAAACGACGCAGGAAGGGGGTTTGTGCCCGGAATGACGTGTTTCTATAAGAATCCCAGTGCTTTGTTTTAAACTTTTAAACTGACGCTGTATGTAAAGAAAACAAAACGATTTTATTTTGAGACTTCATTTGTTGTTTATGTAAAGCTGACGCTGCTTGTTCCTGATGTATGCATGACGGCATGGACATATTTTATATTTCTAGATTTCTGTCCAGTGAATGTTGCCCGTGCCATCGCCCATTCTCCACATTATAAATGGCATTATTATACTTCATGTGTTTCATGAATTTAATCTTGATGCAAATAAAATAAATAAAAATGAAATAAACAAACTGCTATTTATTAGAAACAAATACGGGTTGAAAATTGAGCTTTCTAAACTGTTTGTGTACTACTAACTATTAGTGTTGTTTGAGAACGATGGCGTCATTTCACTTTGACTCCTAATTTCTCCAAATTGGGAAATCCATGCCAAATAATATTGATGACTTTGAGTGTTATCAATACCGGTAATTTAAAACTAAATTTTTAATTTTTAATGTACAAAACTCTACTAACTAATTATTATTTCTGTTACCGGTAATTCAGGTATGGTATTTTAAATTGTGTAATCGATGCCAATCAGTTATTTGTCATAATATGGTGGGGGATTAATAAAAATATTTCGTTGCATATTCCTCTTCGTGGTTTGTAATTTACCCCGAGACTTAAAAGAAATGAAATTAGCTCAATAATTATTTCTGTCAAAGTTATCTTTATTTACCTTCCGTTACTCTGTTTAAAAAATAGGTATTTGATATACCGGTATTTTGGATAATATAGACGCTTTGTGTACAAGTAAGTGTAAACAAATCATCCAAGAATAGCCACCAAGTATTTAGCAGTTGTCAATCATGTTGGCCAGAGAAGATATTGAAATATTCCCCGAGCACCCAGCTAACACTCAGATGACACGGGGACTTTATTAAGTTAATCTACTCGGGGGTTGTCTAACTTTTGTTCATTTAGCAAGGAGATATCCAAAATACAAGTGTGCATGAGATTTTCACCCAAATATGCCTTTTTCCCCCTCTCATTCAAAGATATCTATAGCATTTAACTTTAACTGACAATTCACTTGTCATTTGAAGGTTTTGTTGTATTTTGGTTTGATTTGGGAAACTTTTCAACACGAAATGGGGCCCACTTTGCCCAGCTGTCATGATAAGTATTGGGATATATGAGCAAGCACAGCGGTCATGATAAGAAGTATTGGGATATATGAGCAAGCACAGCGGTCATGATAAGAAGTATTGGGATATATGAGCAAGCACAGCGGTCATGATAAGAAGTATAGGGATATATGAGCAGGCACAGCGGTCATGATAAGAAGTATTGGGATATATGAGCAAGCACAGCGGTCATGATAAGAAGTATTGGGATATATGAGCAAGAGCTTAAATATTTTTTTTTTAAACACACTAAGTACCTCAAAATCTTGATTGTATCTATCTAATCTGCTGAGTACTGTAACTGTAAGAAATGAAAGCATCCTGCTAGACTATATGGATAGTCTAATGAGATAAAATGAGAAACAATCTCTGTTTCTCCAATTACAGAGGCCCTGTGATGAAATGTAACATATGTGGACTGAAAGCTGCTAATTTTTTTTTTTTTACAAAATTGTTTGTTGTGACTTAAAAGTTACGTGAAATAAATGTTGTTGAGTGTATGAAACACCGGACTGACAGAAGCGCATAGATCAATCACCACAGTAATGGGAGACCTGTGTCCCTACCACCATATCCAGCCTTAACCAATCGAGACTGCTGATGGCGGGGTGGGACCTTGCCAAATTATCCCCCCCCCCCTAAGGGTTCCAGATTGGGGGTGGGGGAGGGGGGGGGGGGTGGTGACGTCTGAGTCCTAGAAGGGGTGCAACACGAAATAGTTAGCTAAAGAGATAAGGGATGGAGAGAATTTATATCGCAATTTCGAATACGTCTTGTCTGTGACAAGAACCCACATAACAGTCTCAACCAACATATAACACTACTGTTAGGTTTAGTTTGTGACTGATTCTCCAATGCTATGAATGCCATTGACTAAATATATATATATTATTTAAACAACCTAGCGATGTATTTCAATCCATCTATTCTATTTGATCGATTCAAACATGATAAACAAGAAATGAGGATGAACAATTTGGCAAACCTCTGACAGGCATTTTAGACAACTATAAGCTCCCATCAATTTAACATGGAATATTCTTTTTATTCACTAATGATTATAACATCGGAGGCGGGTTGACCACAGTAAACCAGCTCAAACCTGAAAATGTTTCATGCCCCAACAATGAAACATTATAAGAGAGATTTTTTTTTTTTTTTTAAATGGAATTAGTTGAGAAAAGAGGACAATATAACTGAAATCTTTGAGTTGGTAAGAAATGATATGTAGTTTATTTTGATGACTAAATGACAGGCTCCTTATCTGTACCCGGTACTGTACATTAACTGTTGGCACACAAGCATGCAGTTATTAGTTATATGAACAACTGGTAAGTAACAACAACACTCAAACAGGCAAACCAATAGAGGACATTACATTTTCAATAGATCTAGCTTTTTAACAGTCACGGCAATTACCAGCAATTTTAAAACTGTTTTAATTGCAATTCTCAACTAAATTTTCGAGAATTTTTTCATTTAACTAACTTTTGTATTCTTTGCATGAACCAATGCTAAACAAGTTCTCGACAATTCACTCGAGGGAAATATACAACAGTTCATTTAGAAACTGATAGCAGTCAATATTTTGTTCATGATTAATGACAGAAAATGAAGAAAGATTTCAATTTTTTAGATTCAGTAATATAATTTTTTTTAAATTAAAGCTTTATAATTGTATTGTTGAACTTAATAGAGTTTTAAAAAAAAGAATTTGGCTCAGCATAAGAAACATAAATTGAAACAAATGATTTTCAGAGATCAACATATTCAGATCAACAGGGGTTGGCTATTTCTGATCTTAGTGGTACATGTATATGATACCTGAATGCAATGACTAAATCCCACTTAAATATCAACTCATAAATATGTGACCATCAACAATAAACAGTTTTGTCTATGACCAAATGCATGTACTGCAGTCATTAATTCTAGAATACAAACATAATTTATTTTTAAATACAGCCAATCTCATTAATGAAAGAAAGTTCACATTTTGCTACTGATCAACTCTCTTATTTTACCTCAATCACACAATAAGTGGGATCCCTGAGGAACCTTGACATCATAGCTATAGTAATGCTTGTAACATGAAAGGACAGTAATGCCTTTCATTGGGATGAAACACCTCAATAAGTGGGATCCCTGAGGAACCTTGACATCATAGCTATAGTAATGCTTGTAACATGAAAGGACAGTAATGCCTTTCATTGGGATGAAACACCTCAATAAGTGGGATCCCTGAGGAACCTTGACATCATAGCTATAGTAATGCTTGTAACATGAAAGGACAGTAATGCCTTTCATTGGGATGAAACACCATTCATACAGAGTTGCCAGTCAGGTATTTCCTCTTTAGCTTCTATTTTTAATGTGGTATAAACTGATTAAGGAAAGAAAAAATATTTTTTTTTAAAGTTCTAATATCAATGAAATTTGCTAGACATGTCAAAAGTCAAGACACAGTGATGAAGTCATTCTATGTAGGCTTCTAGAAAATAACAGGGCCATACCTTGGCAAGTCAGACATTGATATAATGTGAAGTGTCCCTGTGTATGTTGAGTGACATGGAGCAGGAATTTTTTTTAATTTTTTTTTAAATTTGTATTTCTCCAGTTGTTCCTCTAATCACAGGTTTACTTGGGGCAACAAACCAAGGCAGATAACCCATTCTTTAAAATGGCTGGATTCAAAATCCATCCTTTCATCTACCAAATAAATAGCTGAATAATTTCTGGCAAACACCATAAAAAGTGAACACTTATTGACACCACAATTACCTCGGTTGTAAAGGCAAAACCTTCATTATTAATGATGGATGTTTAATTCTAAAACTGTCCAGTACTCAACTTCTTGTTGGATAAATTGGATAATAAAATAGTTGATCCAAGTTCAGTTAACACTCTAACAAAAAATGGAAGTGGCCTTCCTTGAGTTTAAAATAAGGGTACCAATACAGAAATCTGAACCTGTTACTCAAAATGCAGATATGATAACCAGACCTAGATGTGAAAAGCCTTTAAATTGTCAATTAGGCACCATATACCACTGGTCAGTAGATTTAAATAAAATTTGCTGTTGAAATTAGCATTCTGAGTTAAAAACTAATAGCAAAAATATTAAAAGGTTTGCAGTCACAATGCAAATTTATCATTTTAAAAAAAGAAAGAGAAAACATTGTTTGACAAGTCAAATAAAAAAAAAAAAATCAGATCTTATTTGCTATACATAGCAATTGTTTAACCATGGCAGGATGGAAACATGTAACGTTAAATCAAACAATTCATGGCCCTAGACAATCGAGATTGTTTTCAAAGAGACAAATATTCTATTTCTATTTACTGTTCAAAAGATGACTGAAAATGTGATAAGCCGCCTTCAATTTTCAAAACATTACCTTTAAAACTTTACTCTTAAGTTTATGTTGACCATGTTAATGTTATACTCTACATAAAATACAAACAGAAAACTACACATTATGATCTAATATAAGGAAAAGATTTTTATAAACTCGAACATTTTAAAAACACCCACACATTGTTTTTTTTAATTTACCAAACATGACTTGTAGGTTTCAATGTTTTGTTTTTTAAATGTAAGTTACCACGGTGATATATAATAAGTTAACACTATAAAATTTGACTTTGATGAAAATTTCTTAAATATATTGCTGAAGAAATGGCAGTAATACAAATTTTTTTAAATAAATGCATTCAAATACCTTCTTTTGACAGCTTCCATTTAATAATAATAATTTTAAAAATTTTAATGTAGGCATTGCAAACCATTAACAATGTAATGAACAAAATAATAACCTTTTTAAAATGCTCAAATTCTAATTGAATTTTTCTGAGCATTTCCTTTATTTTTTTTAAATAAAGAGAATTGAATAATTCTTTTTTTAAAACAGAAAACACACAAAATAAAACAAAAAATTATTTTAATGCAAGTTATAGTAATAATTAAATATATACAATTCTTGTTTTTAACAGCTAAATCTCTTTAAAGACTTAGATTTTATTTTTAAAGGACATTCAATGAAAATAAAATGTACCAATAGTCTAAAGAAGGGATTGCTGAAATAGAGGCTTAACCCCTTTTGTGATAAGAAGTTTTAACACCACCCATCTCATGCCAAGTTCCTGTTACCACTAATCAATTTTATATTGATTTTTTATAGTCCTTTCTATACAAGAAATATTTAAAAAATTAAAAGACAGAGAGAAAAAAAGAATGATATGAAAAAAGTTGAACAGTATTTTTTATTATTTCCCTTCTTTTAAAAACTAAATATTAATTTGCATTTAATTTTTTTAAGAGTCCTTTATTTTTCTTAACTCTCAATGTTCATTATTTTTCCTTAAATTGTGTAATTGCAACTATATCTATTTAACAGAATACTCCTTCTTTAGTCTCACAATATTAGAACTGGTATAGGCACTTGATGTAGTCTTGGATAAAATGTCAAGTACAGCCGATACTTCTGCAAATGGGAATTTGAACATTTGAATTATTTCCTACATTGTATTTTACCTCTAACATTAGTTAACATTTTACCTTGACATGCAAGTCTCTTATTGCCAGCTTCATATCATTTAAATTTTTTTTAAACTTAATAAGGGGATTAAATTAAAAATTATTGGAACTTAGTGGTTAGCATTTTTTTATTTTGCAGGTTTTGAGTAACACTAAATAAAGTAATATGGTTGACAACATGGTAAATGTTTATATAAATGGAGGCTGATAAACCAAAATGTCTTGTAAGTGACTGCACTTGGTGATTTCTGACTAAAATTAACATCTGCAATTTCAATAATGAACGATTTCAGACTTGAGAAAATTAATATTTGAAATATACCAATTATATACCAACCATGACAGGATTCCCCAGACTGAACTATATATCATTTAAAGTGCCAGGACTGAGTACATGTTAAATTTACTATTAAATATATTTAAGCTTCAAAGTGCTAGGTATATAAAACATTTCCCCCCACATCCTATCAATAATAGGGGGAAATCAAGTGAGCCTAAAACCTTTGTTGACCTTCATTAGCACATTATACATCTTGATTCAATAAAGAAATTTATTAGAATTTCATTGCTCATTTTATCATTTTATATAAACAGATAGTGACTGAGTTTTCAGGTTTACTTAAGTGTAGAAATATTGAAATTAATGTGGAAAAACTTGAGCTAATTAAGAAGCATTATTTATCTTACTTGTATTTAGCTCACTTACCTTTCTTTTCCTTACTGGTCATAAACATTGAGACAGTTGAGAAACGAGGAACTTTACACAGATTATCTAGTATCTGGTACCCTAAATCATTTTCTCCTATAGGAAATCATGAAAAAATATTAAAGAGAACGTTAAATCAGTCCGAATAGCTTTAAGTTGAATCTGATTTTTTAAAAACAGTGGCGTCTTAAAAGGAAAGTGAGAAATATAGATATGTGGATCTATAACTAAACATAATGCTTTTAAATGTTTGATTTTCTCATTAGGTAATTTAAAAATAAATATAATTGTTTTTTAATTAAAATTTTCAACAAAAACAAAATCCTAATTATTGAAGGTGATGATTGTAGCTGTAAGATGAGTTGACAAAAGTACTTTACAAGAGTAAATGGTTGCTCCTAAAAGCAGTCAACAAATATGTTATAGTTTGTGAGAGGGAACATGTACTATGGTTACAATAATAAAGAAGCTAAAAATATGACATCTCACCTTTCAAAACCATTTCTTCATAAACACACCTGACAATGATCTGCAACATTTGTCCATCTAGTTTGTTACTAATCACTGGAGATGAATAAAGAAAATAAAATTATATTTGATATCTTTAATAAAATTTTAAATATTTTCTTAATTAAATTATACCTATTTATTTATTACTCAGCAAGTCATGAAATAAAATAAATAAATATCTATGTATATACCTTTAGGTAGGTCTATAGGAGACACTTGACGTAAAATTTCAGCATATGGCTGACTACCCTGACAGGATTTCAAAGAATTCCATGCTTGACAGAACTCATATGGTGTTGTCTTCATTAAACGTGGGGCAATTGGGGGTGCAACAGATTGACCTTTCCTTGAACATTCTTCTGTGTGAACAGACTTTTTCTCTGTATTATTGTTGCTTTTTGATTTGCTGCCTGAAGATGGTTGTGATACTTTGACATTACGAGACTTGCTCTGAAGTTTAGCTTTTTCTGGGGATTGAATAAACTCTTAAAAAGGCCAGAAAAATTTATGATACGAAAAGTTTACTAGAAATCTACATGAGAAACCAAAACAAGATTATAAAGTTGGATTTCACAATTAGAGAATTTAAGAATTTCCTACATATTTGACAAAACAAACATCTTGAAATACTTATCAGTCTAAGGCAATAAGGAGATTAGCCTATTCAAAAAAGGAAAAATCTTAACCCAAATTATTTGTTTTGGTTTTCTTTCATGTAACATTGAAACATTTTATTGTTTGGTATTTTAAATATGATGCTTTCTGAAATGAAGTTAATCATACTCTATCAGACCTGTTTATCCTCAAACTCTTGAAATCTTACAACATCTTCACAAAATCGCTCAATACATTATCTTAATAGTAAAAAATAAACATACAGTATATATAATGTATACACCTCAAAATCGTACATTGTACGCCAAAATGTACACTAGTCTGCTCCATACAACCCCCATCCTAGCCTGATCACTAGTGGCAATCAAACTTAACACTAGTATGAAATACTCATTGTTTTAATTCTGATGAGCATCATAATATGTTTGCAAAGGACAATAGCAAGGTTACAATGCACAAAACAGGAATATACAAAGAATCTTTGAAATTAAAGCTACTCATATGTTCAGTGATAATGTCATAATAAATGCATTCATTTTACAGTTTAAACCTAGAAACCTTTAGTGATCATAAACTGATTGTTATATTTACAAGAAATAACCTTCCTTACCTGCGGTCTTTCCTCTTGGTTTTTCTTCCTCATCATCGTCCTCAACTTCTTCAATTTTCATCCTTTTCCTTACTTTAGTCTCTTGCTCAATGGTTGAGGTTGACTTTTTAGCTCTCAATTTCTCAAGTTCCTTGGGGGGGGGGGGAGACAAAATCTATAAGTGAAACTTGAAAATGATTAAATGAATTAACTGCTAATGACTGAGGACCAAATCCTTACTGCCTTTTCTTTTTTTTACAAAAACATATTTGGTTTCTGATTAAAAGGAGAAATTCAAAACAAAAATACCAAAGTTGAAGCTTTCCTAGGGCTGATTGAGGAATACTGATGTTTGTAATGATATAAAATTCACAATTAATATTTACAAAGAACCACTGAACATACATGATAAGATGCATAATTAAATTTCATTTAATCCAAAGGCATTTTTTTTAAAAACCGGATCCCATCTGACTGTTTTTTTGGTCAAAGATAATGAAAAAGAGCATACTTCTTTGTAAATTTGTTTGACAGTATTCATTTCTTTCTGGGCTGCAGAATTCTTTGGCTCTAATTTAAGAAGTTCTATGAGATCTTGGAGACTTGCTTTATATTGCAGAAGCATCTGAAAAAAAAATAGTTATCTTAATTTATGCTACATTATTTAATATACAAGTGCCATATTGTATGGCCTGCAAAATGAATGTATTTAGTTTAAATGCAAATGAATGTTATTAGGCTACAACCTCATTTACATATCAATGAGACCATATACATAAGTGCATTCAAATCTATGTGCACTTAACTATAGCCACATACCTTTCGTGCAAGTGCTCGTCTATATAATGCTTTAGGATTATCAGCTTGGATGTTAAGGGCTTTATCACAGTCAGCTGCTGCTTCTGCAGCCTAGAGATTAAAAAAATACTCTGTCAAACTTAAGGTGAATGAATTTAATTTGACAAAAATCATGATACTGGAATCTTTTAGAACTTAATACATACAAGTTTGAATACTCATATTTTATTACTAACAATTTTTTAAAATTATTCTTTTTCTTAAAGAGCCAACAATGTCATACAAAAAGCTCATTAAAAATATTATTTGCTCTTTACCCAAGCACTAGTTACACGAAAAAAAAATGTGTATCCTCATTGCCTCGATTTTCTGAGTGGTCCCATTTTTCTCTTCATATTGTTCAATAAATATTAATGAAACAATTTGTAACCATTCAAATAAGCATTACTATAACTTTGTTGACTGTGTGGTAAAAAAATAATTTTGTGATGGGAAGCTTGCAGTTATCCCTAGCTGTTAATATATTTGTATGACTTTATAGAAAAAGTGTCATACCATTTGGAGCTTGAGGAAACACAAGGCCCTATTTGTGTAACAAGCAATTTGATCTGGGCACAAAGTAATACTTGAACTGTAGCACTTCACTGCTTCTTGATATTGCCCCTAAATAGATATCAAACATGAATAATTAAGTGTAACGTCACGAAAAGGGATGAGAGATGGATTGAACACACACTAAAGAAAAAAAATTTACAAGGCAGACATTAATGTAGAACCCACAAAAATAACTTCAAAAAATAGTACAGTCCTACACTGCTTCTCATTCTTTTACTTAATCGTATCTCTTTAATCATCTTTCGGTCCTGTGGATGCTCATGCAATCATTTTTGTCACCTATCATTTACAGAGCAAAAAATGTTCCAGACAATTCAAACACTATCTGAATTTTAACATTGAAACTGATGCCCTGAAGTTTTTTATTTGGCAGTAGCACAATAAATTGCTTGATAGAGACTTTATGTACCTGCACCATATAAAAAAAATGTTGAAAAATCATGGTACCTTTTGAACATGCTGATTCCCAAGTGTCTTTAACTCTTCACATTCCTGTTCTTTACTTAATTCAGGAGCTGCACAATTTTGTTCTAATGACTTTACTACTGAATCATTCTCTGGTGGCACAACCCCTTCACCAGCAGTAGAGTTTGTTTTTGAATGTTCATTATTCTGGATAGTGGAAGTTACACTTTGTTCATGTGCTGCACTGGGTAAACTTTTCTGTGCAGAATCACCTATACAAATTGAAACAACAAAAAAACTGTACAATAATCAAACTTTGGGCTACTTTAAATTCACTATTTATTTTTAGATGCAATGTTCAAGGTTACTGTTCCTTTGCTAGATTTTTTTCTTCAGATGTGAAAAGCAAAAATAATTATAAAATGTTTCAGTTATTCATTAAGATAACAAATCAAGTGGTTATTGAATCTTTTATGATGCTAGGGCACACAACTAAATCTATTTTTTAAAAGTCATTATCAGCTGCATTGACATTTTTTATTTTTGGTTAAACCTACCACAACATATGGAAGAGACAAGTCATAATAAAGAGTGGACAACAAAATCTCAAACAACTGTTGTTTACACAATGAGCTCTGCAGGGAAAAACCTGCATCTGCCACAACAGCTCAAACACCTAACTGCTATATACTTGGATGCCACCTAAGGCAAGAGGAAGCAAGACCGTAAGAGAAAAGACCTGAAATCATCACCATCATTCAGATGCAGTGGCCATTCGATCTTCGGCCTGCAGCCATGGTGAAGAATTTACACACTCACCTCAGCTTTTCTTTGATTAAATATAGGGTGTTGGTGTAGTCTGGTGTTTTGGTAGGTCATTTAGGTGTAAGTCCTTAAGTGTTGGGCAGTGGAAGGGATGATGGGTTACTGTCTCATGGATGTCTGCAGAGGGGGCACGTTGGCGTTTTATCAGGCTTTATGCGGTTAAGGTGAGAATTTAGTTGCATGTATCCTGTGCACAGGCGAAAGATTATGACCTGTTCATGTCTTTGGATCTTTGGGGTCTGGACTGGGCACATGTGTGAAAACATATCTTCCTGTTGAGCCCTTACTTAGCCCATCTATTTAAACACTCCTTTCTTATTAGCTCTGTTGAGTGATGTAGATATGCTTGGCTCTGTTGAGTGATGTAGGTATGTTTGGCTGTGTTGAGTGATGTAGGTATATTTGGCTGTGTTGAGTGATGTAGGTATGTTTGGCTGTGTTGAGTGATGTAGGTATGTTTGGCTGTGTTGAGTGATGTAGGTATGTTTGGCTGTGTTGAGTGATGTAGGTATGTTTGGCTGTGTTGAGTGATGTAGGTATGTCTGGCTGTGTTGAGTGATGTAGATATGTTTGGCTCTGTTGAGTGATGTAGGTATGTTTGGCTGTGTTGAGTGATGTAGGTATGTTTGGCTCTGTTGAGTGATGTAGGTATGTCTTGCTATGTTGAGTGATGTAGGTATGTTTGGCTGTGTTGAGTGATGTAGGTATGTTTGGCTGTGTTGAGTGATGTAGGTATGTCTGGCTGTGTTGAGTGATATAGGTATGTTTGGCTGTGTTGAGTGATGTAGGTATGTTTGGCTGTGTTGAGTGATGTAGGTATGTTTGGCTGTGTTGAGTGATGTAGGTATGTCTGGCTGTTCATTGGACCATTGGATGCTCCCTGTTTTGCTTGCTCCAGGAATCTCTGCAATGTTTAACTAACTTTACTTCCGCCCGAATCCATCATGGGCCTCCTGGAGGACAACAAAGATTGCTGAGTTTTGTTTTTTGTCTTGGAAGCCATTCAAGATTCTTTTGTTCAGGAGGAAGAGTCGAGCCTCAGTACACTGCCCTGCTCTGATGCCAGCTTGGTGTTTATTGAGGGTGCTAGTCCAAATTTACTAGCATTTCCTTATAGATTTTATCTGGTCCTGATTCTTTGCAAGATTTCAGTTTTTTCATAGCTATGTTGAGCTCAATTTGTGTGAAGATTTCTTCAAAATGGTCAATGCGGAGCTCTCTCTTTGGACTTAAGTTCATTATTAGGGATTGGTCATTGTCTTCTTGTTTGCTTTGTTTATTGAGGCTAAGTGTTTGTTAAAGAATTTCTTTCTTTTGATCTTCCCCTATTTTTTTAATTAAGTACACAGTACAATGGTTTTGGTTTGGATTTCCATGATTAACCACAGATGATTCTTAGAAGGGGGGACCATGTCCTAGGTCTACCACAGATGTCACTTAAGTTAGAAGGGACCATGTCCTAGGTCTACCACAGATGTTACTTAGATGGGACCATTAAAAATTCTTTTGATGGTGTTAGTGTTGTGAGAATGAGTCTGTGATCGCTACATATGCCAACAAACACCTCACAGTTGTATATCTGTTTTCAGTCTGAACAGACTAAGGTTAGATCAGGTCTGCTGAGTGTGTTATAATCTCTGTGGAGAAGAGTGTGTGTTGACTGTTCTATATAGTGAATAGGTTTTTAAGAGTTTAAGTACGGTACATCTATTGCCTTTCCGTTGTTGTTGTCATTTTGGTATCCCCACTGAGGGGAGAGACCATTAAAATCACCAGCAATCAGGGTCTTGGAGTATTTGTGTTCTCTCTTGGTGGGGTAAGTTGCAGTTATTTTTGTTGGCGGGTTGTACCCGATGAAGAATGTATATTTTTGTCCATGGTACAATACAGTAACATTTTGGATACCAGTATCTGTGATCTGAACTGTAGGGATTGCCTCAACCTCACCTTGGATGTTATTTCTTATGTAGTTGATGATGCCCCTAAAGTCACGGTGCTTGCAAATGTAATGAGTATACCCTGTAATCTGTGTTGTGGTGTAAAGTTTCTTGTAGTAGTTCTATATGTACTTGTTTCATGTGCAGGAGGTTGGCCACCTATTTTATTTTTTTCTATATCCTGCAGTTGCTGATTTGCAGGATATTTTAATGTGTGTTTATGTTTTTCCTAGTAGCATATGTTTTAAATCTGGTCCTGGGTTCTGCCAAGCAATGTGGGCCTTGATAAACAAGGCTATGCCCAGGCTCTGATGTATTTCTTTTTGTCTTCATCACTGTTGTTTTACAGGTTTTGTCTGTGGCTTTTCTTCCCACCTAGAAGCTGCATACCCTGTGTCTCCACATGGCGATTAGCCACCCACGTGGCAACCAGCCACCCACGTGGCAACCAGCCACTGGGAGTCCAGACGGGAGAGTAGAAGCTGGGTTAGTGTAAGATGACATGTTTTATACACTTTGCTCTTAGAGAAGGACCCATCCTCCTTCAAGGGTCCTCTAATACTACTGGACATTCTGTGGCACCTCATGGGTCTCTTTAAAAATAGGGAGGGACATTACAAGTAGGACTTTTATGAAAGCACCCATAACACAGGAGATGCCATAATTCATCAAAGATCTAGAAATGCTATGGATCAGGCAGCATCTGGTGGATCTATGACAATTTGCTGACACTGTTTTGCCCTGGGGCCATTTCGCAGCTGGGCCATTTGCCTTCTGGCTGTTTCAATGATGTTGATAAAGAAAAAAAATCTAAAGAAAAAAGCTATACCGTATTTAAATACACAGGTGATTATAAAAATGTAGAGGTTTCAAGAACATCTATCTATGTAAACCATCTATCTATGTAAACGTAAAAAATGTTCATGAGTTTTTGTTTTTAGGTTGTTTGTTAGTTCTTCATAATCGTCTTAGTGGATATATTGCTATAGACTAAAAAAATTAATAATTTAATTTATATTTTTAGCACTATAAAAAGGATGCTCTCCTAAACCACCTTAACTAATCTAACTTGTAATCCAACTCTTGAATATACACTATATTTTGCACAACCATCCATGTAAACAGGGATCACGACTACAAATCACATCTGATTCCACAAAGACATACTGGTTTTATGTGGCCCTTTTAGTATATGGGAGATGATATAGAAAGATTTCTTTAAACTCAATACATTTAAGTTCTTGAATCTTCAAAATTGTTTTAATCACATCTAAATTTACAGGATTACTTTTTAACTTTCAATAATTTTATATTTGTCAATAAAGGCGAAATGGTAAGGTGACGAAAAAGCAACTGCCAACGGCGTTGACAGATGGTCACATCCAAGCATCTGATACATCTGGACAGTCACCACTACCTAACAGGAGAGGTGATGTCATGGACATCACTGTTTTTTCTCTCTAAAAGACCTCAGAAAAAAAATTAAACATCAGCCTAGAAAATCCAGTAAAAGAGGTGGCTGCAGATGATATGTGGATTGCACAATGCACAACACTTTCAAGTATAAACTTTTATTTTACATTATCTTTTGCTCTTTCTGGTGGAACTGATAATTTTGTAGTAATAATCATATCGAGGTCACAATAATTTAAATTGTCGAGATTTAAAGCAAAAACTTACTCTGCATTTTCTATTTAATGATTTATGCAATGCTACATAAGTTTATGCATTACTCAAACAAAGCTGCTTGCTAGTAAACAATCATTTGACAACTTTTCCTACAGTGATTTATTCTTCTGCCAAATGATGTCAGCAAATGACCATAAGCGCCTAAAAATAAAACTTCAAATTAAAAGCACTCACACTAAAAATATTTTAGAAATCCATTTATGTTATTATACTTACCATCTTTATCAGCCAATGATGTTGAAGAAGATAGAGATTCATGCATGCCACCTTGGTCAACAATGAGTGGTATTTCCCAAGGCTGGACAAACACCAAAGATGGAATATTCTGACGCCACTTTGGTCCCAAGTTTTTCTGAAGAACTGACTGACATCTGATTGGGAGATTATGCACACATTTACTGAATTTTTTGTTTAAGCATCAGGTCTCATTGACTTTTAAAAACAATGAAAAATCGTGGGGGGTTTTTGTTATCTTTAAACGAAATTTAATACCCTTTAAAGTTCTTGTATATCAAAATGGAGCTAGCTTTTTTATTTCTGATTACTAAACATTAAATGTCCAACTTTCCTAATTTTTATCAATGGTCAAATTAGAAGTTAACAGACTGATCATCCATAACCATTAATGTCTCTCACACTTAACACTTTTGCTCAATAGCCTTTCCAGATTCACCCTGATGAAATAATTTGAATATTAAATATAAGCGCTCAAATATATTTACTTATTTTCACCACATATTTTAATTTTAAAAGTGATTTCTCAAAACAAACAAAAAATAGCTCAGTAGGTACTGAATGTTTCTAAGTGGTTACCAAAATGATTTTAACATTTAAACTTAACAGAACTTTCTACCTTGCTGCCCCTTGATGAGCTTGATCAGCTGTTTTGTCAATACTTATCACATGTTTGTAATCAATATATGCATCAGCATACCTGTCAGACAAAATAGTTGTACATTTGTTAAAATTATTTAATTTAAATAATGTATTATTTCCATTATGATATAATTACATTTTCAAAACTAGCAAACTGATACTACAAACATCAGCTGGTAGTTAAATTCTGAAAGCTAAATATATAAATATATGTTAGCATTCAATAAATATATGTTCATCTAACAGTCATGATAAACTTACTTCTCCAAGTGTTCATAAGCAGTTGCCCGACGAAGCAGGGCTTTTGCACTATGGGGCACAAGCTCCAAAGATCGGCTACATTCTGATACAGCTTGACTGCAGTTGCCAGTCTTGAGATAACAAGCTGCTTGGTTACTCAGCAGCACAGAGAGATTCACATTCTGATCTGGTTCTGCAATTAGATGATAAAAAAAGTCATTTTATTTATGCAATTTATCATAATTTTAACTAAATAGTGAAATGTCCATTGATGAAGCAATCTTAATTTTAAATATTTATTTTTTACAGCAATCGCTGTATCAGTTCTTCAAATAACTTAACGAACCGTAAGCTATGTCATGGAATGTAAGTTTCTAGACTTTAACATTTAATCACTGTAAACAAATGTTACTTTTTCATCACAATCTTGCTTAGTTCCTTAACCTAGCTAATCAAAACTGGCAAAGTAATACTAATTTTATTTTCCCCAGTAAATGATATTGAAACCCCTCAAATAAATTTACAGTAGCAGCAGTACTATGACTAAATAATAGATACCAGAAATTTCTTTTAACTTACATGCAGATCGTTAAAGATTATGTTGTATGTTGTTTTTTTTATTTCAAAGATGGACAATAAATGAAATTTATTAACAGGGAGCATTATTTGAGAATCCTTAAATTAAAGAAAACCCACATACTAACATCATATATTATACCTTTCTCAAGTTTTTTAATAGCTTTAGAATACTGCTCTATAGCATCACCATACTGCCCACTACGGAAGAATGTATTCCCATTCTCTTTTAACTGTTGGATGTCAGATGGCAGTGGAAACTGAACATAATGAGGACGAGTGAACTGATTGCTATGAGCATTGTTAAATTTCATTTGTTGTGCTGCCTCTTGTGCTGCTTGAGAGGACTCTGAAGTCTCCTCAAGACTGAAAGACACTTTGGAAGATGACTGTAAAACCAGTGTTTCTGATGCATTTGTGGAAGATAAGGCATTATTTTCCTCAGAAGTAGAGGTAACAACATAAGGCACTTCTGAAGATGTATTTGAACATAATGTGGTATTGTCTTTTAATTCACTGCAAGATTGTTCACATGTCTGTGACTCTGTGGCAAGTCTACATGTTGTGGATTTATCTTCAGAATCTGAAGCCTTTTCCTGAGATTCTTGACATACTGAAGCTGATACAGAATCATTTAAAGTATTTGTTGTTTCTTCAGTTTTCATCTTGGTGTTTATTTCTAAAGCAGTTTGACCAACATCACATGATGGCCCATGACCATTAATAACTGGGTTTTTATCTATTTCTTTTTCTTCAGTTTTATCATCAGCCTCCTCAACTTCTTCTATCACCATGCGTCTTCCTTTTTCCTTTTTTTCCTTTTGCAATTCTCTTTGAACTTCTTGAAGCAAGCCCTTAAAAAAAGAAAGAAAGAATTTGATATTGAAAAATAACGAAGTCCCAAATGATTAGGGCGGTATGTGAAAATGATTTTCATAAGTACTGAATAAAAGAACAAGTGGCATGGTGGAGCTGACATTGGTGTTTGTGCAGTTTATGCCAGTAGTGGGAAAACATGACAGTCTTGGAATAAAGGGTACATCAGGTAGAAACTAATAGGTTGTGATAGAGGCATCATGTATGAATTAAAGTAATGCATTTGGTAATTTGCAAGTAAATGTGAAATGACTATGCACTTCCTGTACAGTGTTATATTGATTAGTAAAAGGGATAGAACACCCAGAATTGAAATTTGATACGTAGGTTTAAAATAATGTTTTAGCCATGGGAGTGGAGTCTGGTATTTTTGTAGTATCATGACAGCTAAATACAAGGTAAAAGTTTTCTTACATAATATAAGGCTTGTTTACCCTCAAACTCTTAAAATCGTACAATATCATCACAAAATCATTCATTACATGAACTTAATCGTAAAAAAAATAAACATACATTATATAAATTGTATACACCTCAAAATCGTATATTGTATTCCAAAATCATAAGAGTAAACAGGTCTGTAATATAGTCTAGCCAAAAAGACCGGAAATGACAGAAACAGCTATAGGTGTAGCTGTAGAGAGACCTAGAGAAAGTGAACATTCAACAACGGCTTCTTAGGAGTTGTTCAAACAATTTTTAGTGTTGCGTATTTACTTAATTGCCTTTAGGTCTGGATTATAAATCTACACAGAGAATAGCGCCCCTGTATTATTCACTAGAGTACTACTAATTCTTGGTACATGACCACAAGCAGGGCCCACAAAAACCAAAGTAACATCCATTCTGCGACAAAGAACAAAACGTTTCCAACAAAAGATGAATGTGCTTAATAGTGATAGAGATTAATTAAACTAATCAGCAGTAGTAACATTGTTAAACTCACCTCAGCTGTCTTATTGTTTGCTTCCATTTTAAGCACTTTTTCAAAATCAGAGACAGCATTTGTATAGCTCTTCTTACTTTTGTAGGCTGTTCCTCTTCTTAACAAAGCTGCAACAATGGTACAATCAGTTATCACAATCATAAAATAGATAAAATATAAAATTAGAAAAATACCGAAATAAATTTTTCAAGAATAACACTTTAATAGTAATTTCATTTATTAGAATAATACAAATCAGCAGATGAAACTCTTTTTAAATGAAACAAATGATGATTATCACTCTGACCTTTTATGTTGTCAGCTTCTAGATTGAGAACACTGTCACAATCCATAATAGCTTTGTCCCATTTCTCAAGTTTTAGGTCTGCAATACAGGAGTAATTTGAGCAAACAATTAAATAGAATCAGAATGTTATAATAGCATCATTAAATTAATATAAATGTTTAAAAGAGAGCTATGATTGTTATTACTGTATATACTCAACAGATCCACTTAATTTTTTTTTAGAAATATTCAGGGGAATAAGAGGCGAATAGATTTTTAAAAAAAAATTAATAGCTTTCTTTATAACTGTATTGCTTATACTAGCATATTATTTTTTATGGGGTCCGCTTATGAGTGAGTTGTTGGTTTATGAAAGAACAGGCTTTAGAATGAGTACATACAGTATTTCTAAACCAAACAATTTTGAAATAAACTCACATGCCAATGCTCTGTTGTTGTACGAAGCTGCTGTGGGGATAAGAGTAATGCTTCTTGAGTAATAGGTAACTGATTCTTCAAATTCTTTAGCTCGAAATGCCTGTAATGACCAACAAAGCATGTATTGTAATAATTAATGATAACTATTACTTTTGTTTTAGATTATTAAGATCATTATAAAACAACTGCTTACCTCATTGCCTTTATCTTTCTCTCTATTTGCCTTCAGTTCTTTTTCTTCCTGGCTCAGACCTGAATATGAAGAGATAGTTTGAATTACATATATCAATAATATTTGCCAAAGTGATGAGAGTAACTGTAGCATAACATAATTTGGTCCGCAATAAGGTTAATGATAATGTGAGCTGAAATATGTTGCTTTTACTATTTTAATTAACATATAATTTTTTAAATATTATATTATATATATATATATATATATATGAAAATTTTGTATAAGATTTCTGAAAATGTTCCTTGTGAATCGTCTCCTGGTGGTTATTCATTTCGCTCACAGCAAAAAATGTTATTTGGCTGTTGTCAGCAGGTAATAAAAAAAGTGCAAACCTGCAGTTTCAATATTAATATTGACCCCATTGATCTTAGTCTTGTTGGTAGGTGTTTTCTTGTTTTCATCAGAATCTATTTTGCTTAGTTCAGCATCAATGTCAATCCTGAAATATGTTTCCTTTGTTTTTAATTACTGATTTCCTCATTTAGGCCAAATTTTCTTGGTTAAAGTATTTTTTTATATAAAACATTTGGTGCTACTATTTTCTTAACAGAATATCTTTTTAGAAACATCTGAAGTTCTCAATCATTTTTTTTCAAAATAGATAGCTAGCTAAACTTAAATCAATAATCAAGTAATTTCACTAAGCTGGTCAAAAATGCAAGCCTACACAACCAAATTCATTTTATTTTATTGATTACTTTTTCCAATCTCTCTTTTGCTTTATTTTTGTCCACTATTGAAGACGTTCTCTTTATAATTTTGTTGCTGTGCTCCCTCTTTTTTAAAGTTTTGCAATAACTTTAGTGTTTATTCCGCCCCCGCCCCCCCCCACATACTTTTTGCACATTTTATTTAACTCCACCTTGCAAATTACTTTTAGAATAAAAAGTTTAATTTACTTGTCCCATTCTCTGTAATCTCTGGGCATGACCTTTGTTTTTTTGCTATCTGAATTTTTTTTTTGCTGAAACACAAAAGATTCCAATTAATTTAAATTTCAAAAATGTAAAATTCTCTATGATCATACTAATTTCCACCATATTGGCTAAACAATAAGCAAGATCTATTGAAAAAACAAATGCTTTCTTGTTTAAAAAATAGATTATGTTAATTTTATTAAAATTTATAATTTACAGCCATTTATGGATGAGCTTAACTGCGGTTAAATATTAACAACTGTCTGAAGTTAACACATTATATAGAATAAAGTTTATAAGGTATATGGACACAGTGAATAAGGCATGCACCACTTAGTTTAAAAGTACATTTAAAAAAATTATTATTTCATGTAATATAATTCAAATAGCTTACCTTTTTCCCCTCTAATACAGTGTTGTTTGAGCGAACAGGGGGGAGATTTTCATCTCCTTCCAAAATATCATCTGGTCCTTGGGAAACGCTTCCCGACTTTTTTTTTTCTTTCTCATTCATTGTAGTTGTCCAAATCTAAGAATAAATCCATAGTATTTAAAAATTGTGCTAAACATAATTATATTAATCTGTCTACATACACTTTAAAAAAAAAAAATTTAGTATCCCATAAATTCACTAAAAGAAATAACTTAGAACTGTAAATTTTTCAACATACCTTGAGGTCTTCATCAATTTGATTCCAGTCACCACTACTAAGATCACCAGGTCGCAGAATAGGACCTTCATGTCTCAAAACACGACTGAAAGACAAAGTTATTTGTTTTATGTGAATTATTTTAAAATTAAAAAGCAAAATAAGATTTCTCCTTAAAAACGGTCCCCATGTTCAACTTAAGCTGTTGCATCTTTATTTCAGCAAACAACAAATGATGACAAGTAGAAATTTAAAATTAAAAAGTAAAGAAAATAAAGTTAGCTCATTTGCTGTTTATTTTATGATAGGAGTTATGGGTAAGGAAATAAAATAAAAGGAAGTGCAAGAGAATTGGATGTAGAAATAAAGGGAGGGAGAAAATGTGTTATCATGTAAAAAGTCTCGTCATGCCATGTGGTGTCAGTGTTCCAAAACTGCGTAGCAATCTATACTCGTAACCCACCTCTTTGGATTAAGCGCCTGGATTCTGTTCTCTGTAAATTTTTCAAGATCTGGGAATTTGCCCTCATCTCCTGATCTAATTGAATATGAAATTTAAAATATTTTTAAGATATCTGCTTCAAAAGGTTGACCAAAAGGTTGACAATAGGACCTGTCATTTATCTATTTCATAATATCAACAGTATAGCAAATTAAGGGCAATGTTTACCTTAAAACTCGATATATTTTTTCCAGTTCTTTTACATTGCTGCATTTTTCAATGTAGCTATACTCCATGTGAGATAACGGTATATCGTATTTTTTGGTGCTTTGACCCTCTATGTGAAAATTTGAAGTCATTTTAACTGCAATAAAAAAAAATATGTATTTTTTTCACCATTGATTTAAGTCAAGGAATTCAATCTGTTATAAAAATATACAATCATTTGGATTCTGTATCTAATATAGTTTTTGTCTTAATGAAAAACTATGGTAGTTTTTTTATTATTATTATTATCATAAATTACATAGTGCTGTAATGGGAGTGCATAAATGGCATGTGAGAAAAATACTTTAAGTCTAAATAATACTATTACCAATGGCTGATTTTAATAATTATAGCAAAATTAAATTACACACTAATACAACAACTTAAGCAAGTTAAGTTAACTATTTCATTCTATATTTAATGCTGCATGTAAGTACAAAAAAATTAAACAATTTTTAAATTTTACATGAAAATGAGAGAAAGTTAGTTCTTTGAGAAATTGCAATTACTTTACAATTTGGGAGCCTCATTTCTTTTATTTATAAACATATAAAATATTACTGCTGTAATCGGATACAGATTTAATGAAGATTATCTGTTGGGTTACAACCATAAGCAAATAGGCATATTACTGATTGTTCAGCCTGCAATATAGATCAGATGGCGTTAAATGTCTGCCTTTTGAAAATAAAGTTTCAGCTTTGGAAATGAAAACCTACTGTATTTATCAATTTTTGGTAAATCACAAATATAGAGCTACAATTAGGTTTAGAGGGAGTAAGGGTTAAACATTATTATGACAATAACTGCGTAAAGAAAAAGACCAGGAAACTATTATCTGATTACCACCATGGTAAGCGGCACCACATCTGCAAAGTTACTTTGAATTGACAAGTGGTGGTAGAATTGAGTCTTCGAGGGCTGATTGATCTCACCAAGGCTAATGTCAATGTAATAGCTAACAGAGGAACCAGAAACCAGAAAAATCATTCACATCAAGGTATAAGATAATTTGCAAAATCCCAGTTAAAGTGACATCTGTAACTTTAACGTGGCCTTGGCATAAGACTAAAAGGTAGATCTGAGTTACCACTATCCAACTTTCTCAGGCCATTCACTCATGAAGCAGATGCCATAAACCATAATAATTTTAGGGAGGTGTTAACCCACCTCCATCAAACAAGCCTTATCAGAGCTCACTTGCTCCTCTACCCAACCTTCTTGCACCGTTAACCAGTCTATTACTGCAAAAGGAAAACTGAATCGACAGACAGAGAAAGTGTCACATGTGTCAACAAATAAATTATGATTTTCTGTCAAGATTGAAATGTGCGTAGAAAGAAAGCCTTTAATTAAAAAAATAGTCTTCTGACTGTGAAAGTTTTATTGAAATGGTCATATTAATATTAAGAATATTGAATAAAGTGAAACTGCTGGTATATTGGGGATAAGCCTACTATATATATTATTAAATACCATATTTATTGGCGTATAACACGCACTTTTCTCCCTGAAAATAGGGGGTAAATGATGTGTACGTGTTATATGCCGATAAAATGTTTAGTTTTTTTCCCTGAAATTTCCTTCTTAAATTGAGGTGCGTGTTATAAGTGGGGGCATGTTATACGCCAATAAATACGGTATTTAAATCTACCTACCCTACTTAAAATACTATTAAAGCAGTAATACTTGTATTACCAGTTATGATGAGTGTGCCTAGCGTACAATGACTTTTGTAGGTCTAAAAAAATATAATTAATAATAAGACCTATTTAGGCTAATATGCTACTAAACCATGACTAAGAATATTATTACTAGTAGAACTAGGCCTAAGAGGGTTATAAAATACTAATGTAGGCCTACACTACTACTACTAGATACTGTATGTTCATCTTCGTGATTGAACTATTCAGATCTCGGAGTCACACTGACATTTGCTTTCTCATGTCATATTCACTGTTACATAAAAATAAACACCAGATGCCAGGTGACCTCATAGGCAAGGATGCCCAAAAGAGGACAACGACCTGAAGGATCCATAAGAATAGCCCAGTCAGTCAGATGAACTGACTATGGAAAAATGTACATTTGATCACTACTTTGACTTAACCCAGGATAATGTTTCCTGTTCCAGATGGATATCGAATAATGACCAATGGCTATGAAATTAATGAAGACAAGTTCCCAAAGAAAGTCTAGCACTTCTACTTCTAAAAGCTCTCTCGCTGCTAATTTATTTGAGCATGTCAACTAATGATTATACTTGACTAAGTTATATGCTGCAAATGTGAGGAAAAGATCACCAGAATAAAAGAGTCAAGAGAGGAGTCATTTTTACTTTTAAGTTACTATACTATATTTTTTTTACATTAACATGTTACCTGTCCAATGTCATAGTATAGCCTATGTGATGTCTCTAACTATTTACCTTTTGCATTTTTTTAAAGCTCAACAGTCTGTAGTTCTCTTTTTCAATACAATAAAAATAATAAAAAATAAGTCCATTTTTTTGGTAGCCCCGTGCCATTGTTAGCCATTAATATTATCATTAATTAATTTATTTTAAAAATCCAGTTACATTTCATTACTACTATTGTAAATTGTACAGCATTGTATGATTGTCAAAAGCCTCATACATAATAATAATATACATTTTCATAGTTTTAGCTTAGTAGAGTATTAGTTTAAATTTAGTATTACTAGTGTTAATTGACTGTTAATAATATAAAAATAGTAATTCCTTTTTTATATTTTTATTTTTAACTTTACTAAATTACTAAATAGTGATTGAATGATTGTTTGAAATGTTTGTTATTTGAACATTAATTAGGGGGATGCGAGACTTAGTTAAACAATTCGTTAGGAGTGAGAGAATAAGTAAGAAAAAAGCATAGGGATGCAGAGCATAGAAAAGGTTGGGGTTGGAAAACAATAATGCACTAAAACATCACCAACATTGGAAAGAATAAATAATACAATGAATGATGATAATGATAATGTAACCAAATATCCGAATGTACATTCTGTCCGAAAAAATAAACAGGGCATTTGTTTACATCCTGCTTCTCAAAGTGTTCAAGACTCATACAATACAACATAATTTATTTTAACGTGTAATATTTCCTTAAGGATGTATATTATAGCAATTACTTTATTTATTTTTTATTTTGTAAAACAATAACACCACAAACCAAAGTAAAATTATCACACGCTGTGGTTTCCAAGGTGGAAGTGACGCTAAATATAGCCAAATCGAGGTTCTCGCGAGAGTATTCTTACTGTCCCAAACATGGCCGCAATCATTTGTCAGTGAATGGTAGTGCACTAGCAGTTTCTCTTGATACTCATTTAAGTCCCTGAACTGACTCGATGGATGGGTTTTAATTTATTGTTCGTCTTTGATAAGAAAAAACAAAGAAATCCAGATATTTTTTTCCATTATATCATTTGCATCTCCAACGAAAGGTATATTTTCTTATTTCTTCGTTTTATCAAATTCAAGAATGAAAATAAACAAGTCCGGAAAGTATATTTTTTCGGATTAGACACAGGAATATGAGTTTGCATTATCGTATATTAATATATCAGTAGACCCTGTTTATAGCGACCTCTGTATAAGCCACTATGTGGAATCAAAAAAACGGTTTCAAAATTATTAAATTGTTTTTGGCTTAGAATCACAAGTTTGTTTTGAACTAAAAGAACTCATAAATAATAAAGTTATAATCAGAGTAAGAGTAAAAATAGAACTGCTTTCCCCAAATGGTGGTAAACCAACGTGAATATGAATTAAGATCTCTAAGAAGGATATTGACAATTGACTGTAGTATTGTCATTACTGTCATTAGAATTAGAAAAATGAGGTGGTGATGATTAGGGGTGTGCCGGAATCCGGTTCCGCCGGATTTTGCACTATCCTGTGAAATCCGGTTCCGCCGGATTTACATGTATCCGGAACAACCGGATTTCGGAATTTGCCAGATTTTGTGACTCACCGGATCATAATCTGAAATAAAAGTAATTCTCTTTCCCGAATTCCACACGATCACGATTGTTACGCACTGACTTGTGTTGGGAGAAATTAATCTCCTATTTTAATTTAATTGGCTCGTTGTAAGCAGTGCCTAACAAAGGACGATACCATAGAATCAACAATAATAAAGATACGACCCAAAACAGTTTCTAGTTACAATTAATAATATTTATTAATTCTAATTACAAAAGAAAAGAAAATATAATTACAATCTTCAACTTACAGTATGGTAGATCTTGTACCGGTACACAGTTAACACAGTTAGAATAATGTGCCAATAAATAATGCGAAATAAACACATATAAGCTCACAAATACACAAAGAATAAAACACGGGCCTAAGCCACACCCCTTTGTGAACACAGCGTCTCATGCGGGGTCAATCAGAGGGCTCGCACGAGAAATATTATGTAAACAAGCTCTCTATAACAACGATATATTAATCGATTGTTTGGAGCGTTGAGCTTGTTTAATGTTTAATATTCCGAACATACCAGAGGCTAGAGTCAGCACCGCTAATAGTGGCCAATAGTACCGGAATCCGGATCCGGCGGATTTCGCATAAGAAAATCCGGATCCGCTTGGAAAAAACGGATCCGGCACACCCCTAGTGGTGATGAATGACTCCTGACTCAGGCAGTATCTGAAGAAACCTAGACATGGGATCAGCAACTTTTTTGTGGGATGAAGAATTTTGTCAATTATTTAAATTATATAATTTTTAATGATTTTATTTCTACTTGCATTTTCAATTTGGCAAATTGTAATTTATTGCGGGACACTTTTGATATGTTGATTCAGTCTTCGTGCAGTGATCACCTAGTGAATGGCATGAGAATGCTGGAAACGAGCTCCATTATGGCTGGTTTGACGAAAGGGGGGGGGGTGGTTGCACTCGCTCAAATTATCATGGTTTAGCAAATGAAATGGCGGGAGAAGGTTGGATAGGGGGAGCTTAAATCTACTTTTTAATTTTAGGCGATCGGACAAATAGTGTGGGAGATATGCGTCCGGCGGGCATGTCAGAGACTGCCGGACGCCTAGTGGGATATATTCTTCGGCGGGCACGTGACCATCTGTGACTAGTGGAATATATTATTCTGGCGACAGACCGGCCGATCCCTAGATAGTAAATACTGAACATGTTAATATATTCATATGCTCTGAGATAAATAAAGGGTATCGTAAGCATTTGACTTTGAATATTAAACTATTCTGCCTAAATACTAAATAGTAGTACTATTACTAATATTACTAGTCTATTTGATTCCGACTCTTCAAAGAAAAAAGTCTGTTATCTTTGTTAAACATCTTATAACTCTCTACCTTGAACTTGAAGCCTAAATTTAAAATATGAACCAAATAAAATAAGACCAGTAGACTTTAATAGAATATTGTCAATAAAGTTTTATTTTAGGATTAGTATTTAGTGTTGCATGAGAAGTAGGCTAGGTTACCATTGTATTGTATCTATATTAAGATGTGCCGTCTATTTCTTTGTGGACTATCGGCCTACCGCCTTACACTTTATTATTTATCACACACTTTTTATTATTTATCACCCTTACTCTTATTTCTTTATTACCGTAATTCTCTCTCCCTCTCAGCATTTCTTCTTCCTAGAATGCATTATTGCTTAACCTCCTACCCCTTTGTTTATGCACCGTACACAAGTATTTTTTCTATTATTTGTTGACAAGATACTCAGTAAATTACTGTAAAAACTCCTCGACTACATGCATCTCCAACGCCATTTTTCTGATAGACTGTACTTTTATCTGTCACGTGACAAGGCTGACAGACAACTATCTCGCGCCACTTTGTTACGGCTGTCATGTGACTTGGTCGGCGGACGAATATCTCGATAAAGTATTCATCAGGCGGTCATGTGACTTGGTCACCGGACGCATATCTCCTGCAATATTTGTCTGGTCGCCGGACGTGTAGACACTTCGTAAATTTTATGCCAAGTTAAAGAGTTATGTCAATTTAATGTTTAAATTTTGTAAGTATTCGTTTTTAAAAAAAAGTAAATAATTCTACTTTTGTAGGCTTAGAGATAAAAATGTTAATACTAAAAAGTAGAAAATAAAAAATATTTTTAAAAATTAGAAAAAAAAAGACTTCCTATCAACTACATGTTTATTAAAGGCACTAAAAATTAGAAAATACTTTAACATTTCTGAAAATGTAATACACAAGGAAAGTCTGTGCAGAAAATATGTTTTTAAAAAAATTAATAACAATAAAACTTACATATGTTTTGTCTACATTCAATGCAATCCTTTCGCTACATAGTGTGATCATTCACACTTCTGCAGTCTTTCTTTGCATAATGCATTTAAAGAAATATGAAATTATTTAATTCAATTTAGTGTGTTTAAACTCTTCTTTGATGGGAAGTAATTTAAAAAGGTCTTTAAATTTGCTTTTATTATATATGCAATGAAAATATTTTGGAAGTTACATAGATATTTTTTTATTTAATATTCTAGAACCACAGGTTGCCGAACACTTGCCTAGGCTAAAGCTATAGCCTTTATTCTTCATCATTGTATTATGATGCAAGGATTCACTAAAATAAAACAGTTAATGTGTCCAGACAAAAGCTTTTGTCCACTAATAAAGATGGTAAAAATAAAGAATTAAAAGGAACTTCCCGTTTGCTGCAAACTAATTTTTAATAGCCAATTATTACAAATACGATAGTCAGAGTAGCTCTATGCTACAATATGTAATGAAGGCTTCTCAGTGAAAATAGTAGTATTAAGCCTAAATGCCCAAAAGTCAATAATTTATAGCTTGAAGTTAGGCAGTACATGATTTTCCTATGGTAGGATTTGCTATAAAAGACATATCTATGATCTATCTCTCTATGATATCATAAAAATGTTGTATTAAAATGGTTGTCAATATACAAATTCCATCAAATAAGTTATTTAGAATTATGGGGGGGGGGGGGGGGGGGACTGTGATGTGAAGTTGGTAAATGTTATAAGTAAAATATATGACATGAATGTTTTAAAATTATTTTTACCCTTCCCAACCCCCCATATTTCCCTCATGTCATATATAATACTTTAGAGGTGTGTACTTGAATTTATTTAATTTTCCCTTCAGTTTTAATTATACAATTTTAAGCCACAAATAACACTTGGCAAAGATAGGGAGTAATAACAAAGGTGAACATTTTTGATAGGGAGTAATGGCTTGGGCGAACATTTTTTAACTTCAATTACATGCGGTTTTACTGCTCTTAATTTGAGGCAAGTTACATCTAAAGGCATCCTGCAATTGCATTTTTACCCAAAGCATATCTTACAATGTGGATCCATAACTACTAATTTTTTTATATAGACATATTTGGTGGCCAATATGCTTGTAAAAGGGTTTTAAAAAATTAAGAATTTGATCTTTTAAAAATTACTGATTGACTTAGCCCCAGAAATTAAAATTATTTTTAGGGCACATTGTTTTCTGAATTTTATACCGAACCAGTTTGATTGATTCTATTAGACTTTCGGCCCTAAACTTGTTCATCTCTTTTTAAGTTACAGTGAACCTAAAATAAATATTTAGATTTTTTAACTGCAAATATCATAAATAATTACCTTAATTGCACTTCAGTTTAATCTGAATGTAAACAGGAGCCTAACTTTACTAAATTTATGTTGAGAGGAAGTGGAATTAATTAATTATGCAATGCGGTTAAAAGTATAAATATATTTAAAGAATTTTTTCCCAACTAAATGTATGTCTTATTGTTTTATACTTTTTTTTTTTTGTAGATGTCGCTGAAACCAAGAAGAGTTGACTTTGATGCAACATGGAAATTACTAAAAGAAACATTGGAAGGTGTTATAACATGTGGATCTGTTCAAAGAGTCACTTGGAATGATCGCTTTTCATATCCTTTTTTAAATGAAAATATAAATAATAATTAGAACTAATTATTCTTCAAATGCAACATCTATTTCTTATAAGATATGGTGTTTGCTAGTATAATAAAAACAAGTCCCGTTAATTAAAAAATATCCTTAACTCTATTAACTGATGTTTACAAGCTTTGTACAGCACTTCCTGAACCACATGGAGACCATTTGTACCAGAGTACCAAAGAATTCCTTGAAGAACATGTTAAAAATTTGCATGCGGTAAAGCTTCCTGAAAATATTTATTCTAGTTATTAAATGAGATTTTTTTTTATTGTATTGTTTTTCATTTGTTAGAACCAGTGTTACTTTTTTAGAGTGCACTCTTAATTATATAAATATCACCGTCAATAAATACACTTGCTTTTTCCAATGTTTGTTTAAATTTTAATTTGCTTAATTTTACAGGAAATTGTTTCAGCTGGAGAGGATCATATGTTGGAAATGTATCATAAACATTGGGATCGCTTTAATACAGGTGCAGGTTACCTAAACCAGTTATATGGGTATGTTGTACTTTTTCTGTTTTACTTCTTTTCAAGATAGGTGAATTCTATGATGACTGATGTAACTTTGCATCAAGTATAATTGGAAAATGTCATTAAGTGTGCTTAATTTAATTATACATGGTTTTGGGTCTTAAGTAGGTTGACTTTAAAATAATAGAATTTATAAAAAAATAAAGCAGAATATAAAAAAAAAAAAAATTTTGAAATTGTATCAGACAACTTGAAAGGACATAATATTTGAGTTTGCATCGTTTTTGCTGATTTCCTCTTAAAATCTGCTTTAATGGAAACATTTTTTTTTTTCAAACTTATTATATACAATGTTTAATTTTCTAAGGAAAAACCTTTAAAAACTACTTAGAAAGCAAATTTTTTACAAATGTAGTAAAAATAATATAATATAACATGGCTTTGTAATTGACGTAACAGGCATTGCATAGCTCATATCATGCTATATAATTTTTAATACATTTTAATCTCAGATCAGGTTTCATTTATCAATACATTGCTTAAAAAAATAAAGCTATAGGACTATTAATTTGGAAGTCAACATCATTTTCCATTGGGACTTTTAATACATTTTTCTTTTCATTCAATGGAAGTTGAGTCAGTCCAAAGCTTATAACATTTGGGTAATCAAAGTTTTAACATAAATTTTCATATTGCCCTTAAATTACAACTTTGCCTATCTCCTAAACTGCATTTTAAATTTAACTAATAATCTGTTGCAGTTACCTCAATAATACCTACATAAAAAAACAGAAATATTCAGATGCAGATGTCAACTATGGGGTTTTTCCTGTTGATGCTGACTGTTTACTTGAGATTGGAGAGGTAAGTCAGTTACTCAAATTTATTGAAAATATTAATCTCAGTAAAGTTTTAATTACTTCTTTATATTAAATAAAAATCACACCGCAATTCGTAAATTAGATTATAATTTTTCTGTGAAAACATAAGTTGATCACTCTCAGTAACTAATCTGTTTAATGAAAATGCACATTTCTGATATCTAGCTTGCCAAAGACATTTGGAAAAATTTGATGATAGACCCTATCAAGCACAGACTAGTTATTCTCTTACTTCAAGAGATTGCTAGGTAAGCACAATTTACAGCAGATTGTATCTAAGCAAATTTATTGTACCACAAATGCTGGGTTTTGTTTCCTTGCTTTCATTCTACTCCATGAAACTTCTCATGCTCTTAAAAGAAACTATTTTTATAGTTTATGACAGTAATACCATGTTTATTATTCAACATGTAAATTCCAGCATGTTTTTCCATGTATAGCACAGAAATCTATTGTAAATCTAAAGGGATAAAAGAGAAAATTTGTTAATTGAAATATTAATGTAATACTAGTAATAGTACCCTAACAAGCTATGTCTGTGCATTGAGAAAGTGGAAATTTTCATGATGATACACCACTCACTGGCCTTCCTGTAATAGTTTAACTAAATATAATTTAAGAAAGCTAATGATCTTTTATGTTTTACAACATTTTCCAATGAGTACTTGATGCACAATTTAAAAAAATTCCTATTGAGACAACCAATGTTCTTCTTTGCTGACAGAGATAGAAATGGTTACAGCGTGAATCAGACAGTTATTCACAGTGTTGTTACTTCCTTAGTCGATGTTTCAGAATACAAGAAAAAAACACCACTTGAGGTAATAATAATGTCATTTTTTTAAAATGAATATTTTGAATGAACTTTTCCATTGAATTGACAATTTAACACAAATTTTCTACTTTTTATGCTGATAAAAGGAAAAATAACTATATGTCTGCCTCCATTAAATAAAGTCATTCATCTTTTCTTTCTTTAAGTATTTAAGTTATAATATAATAGGTAAAATTAAATCATCAGAAATTAATAATTCTGTGTTCAATAGTCATGCAAAATAAAATTCCTAGAAGTTTGCACCAATTGGGATGCATTTTGTCGAGTAACTTTAGTAGATGGGAAGATCATGCACTGCCAACACCATTGTTTGGTGAGTCATTTCTAGTACATATTTAATATCTGTTTAAAAATTGACCGACTTTGAAGTTGTGATTTTGCTTTTTTCAGTTATATCAAGATATTTTTGAGACTCAGTTTTTAAAGGAGACTGGAGAGTTTTATCGTCATGAAGCAGCTCGACTAAAAGCAGACTGCACATGCTCAGAGTATTTAGAAAAGGTAAGACAGACTTTTACCCCAAAAAATCCATAATTTATTTTCAGTGTTTTTCTTTTTTTTTAATTACCCAGCTAATTGCATTTGTGCTTTTAAAAACGTTTTGTTTTACAAAAATGTAGGTTATCCAAAGGTTAGACAATGAAAATTTTCGAAGTAGGAAGTTTCTGCACAGTACATCATATGCAAAAGTTACCCAAGAAGTTCAAACTAGAATGGTTGCAGATATCATTGATTTTCTCCATGGGGAGTGTAAAGATATGGTTGAGCAAGAAAAGCGAAAAGGTGGGTAATTACTAAGTAATGTATAAAAGCTAAAGCAACCCAAATAAATGTATTGGAGTGAAATTTAATCCACTTTCAGCAAAGCTTGCTTTTCAAACAATTTCTTTAAAGGTTTTCACCCACATAATCATCAGTTTATTTAGTTAAATCATTTTTTGAAAATACTTATGTGTATATAAATTTAAACAAATAACATTGTCTTTTATTTTAAATTAATATTGTTGTAACGGAGGAAAAAAGTAAGTTTTATTTCAAATCTTATAATTATGTTATATATTTCCATTCCACTGCAGACTTGACAAATCTGTACATTTTACTTAAACCAATTCACAAGGGTTTAGAGGTACTTGTTAGGGAAGTTGAAGGTCACATTAAACAGCAGGGTATGCAATCTGTCCTCAGTCTCAAAAATGATCCAGCAGTAAGTACTGAGTATGATTTCATCTTATTTTTGTTTTGTTAAATAAATTTTAAAAATTTCCTATGATGGTACTGCCATTAGTTTTCTGTCAAAGATAATTGAGCGATTAGTTAATTTCTTTCTTATTTATAGATGTGGACTGATGTAAAATCTAAACTTTAATTTCATTAATTTCTTTCTTCAGTTTGTTGAAGCTATGTTAAAAGTTTACCACAAGTTCAGAGAGTTGATAACTGACGTGTTTAATAATGATCAAGCTTTTACTGGTGCCTTGGATAAAGTGAGCATTTTAATTCTTTATTACTTGGTGTATGTACATTCCTCATGTAAATCCAGATAAATAATTAATATTCATTTATGGTCTTGCTAAGATTAACTTTAGAGCTGATTGAGCCATGGATAAATGGTTGAAACTTAATTTATGAACGTTCAACAAATACAGTTAAATTTGATATCTGCCTACTTGTGCAATGTGTTCCGCTTGCAAAGTATCAAAATTTTATTAAAAATAGATATTTAAAAGTGTTTCAGATCAGTTTGCTTTTGATAATAATGTACTTAAAATTTGGAGTCATAGATTGTACTGTAGATAATATTCTATATAATTATATAGTCCGTTTCTAAGTTTAGTAACTGTATTCGTTGACAAAGTTTGTTCTCAATGGCTTTTATTATTCTAAAACCTGATTGTTCATTTCATATTATTTCATGATGTTGGTTTTAGTTCAAAAAGGTTTAATTTCTTTCCCCTTATAATTTGTGCAAAAGTTTAATCTTTTTAAAATGTCTAAGTGTTTCTTTCACTGTTTAAAACAACTTGAAGACTCTGGTAGATTCTTAAAAAAGATTTTTAAATCTATTGTCTTTTCTGTAAATGAGGAGGAAATGTACCTACAAAAGTCTAAAATAAGATATTTGTTACCTAATTGAATCTTTAGCGTCTTCATTTAATGTAATTGCAATCTTAAAGAGAAAACCACTTCTGTTTACTGAGCTATCAAAGTCTCATCTTGGTATAAATTTACTCTCAACATTTAAACTGCCCTGGAATATTTCCTCACATTGTTTAAAAGACTAAGGAAGCAATATTCAACAAGAGATTTAGTGATCTTTAGTATTGATGGACAAACTTTATACAAACTTCCCATATCTCCACCAACAGTTTGATCCTTGAATTTAGGCAAACTTTATTTGATAAAAAGTAATTTTTCATTACATCTTGTGATATATCTTTCCAATCGTGTACGATTCAATTTATTCCTAGTGCATGATAATAAAAAGTTAACATTAACCGTCACAATGTCACCATCAGAATATTTAGTTAGTTGCCTCTGTTCTTTCTAATAATCCTGGATGCTATAATGTCTTATTACAGGCCTGTTCTGCTGTAATTAATCATAAACCTCAGAATTCACGGGCACCCAACAGATCTCCAGAATTGGTAAGATAATATTTAACTCTTTTATGTCTAAAAAGTTTATCCCTCTTTTTCTTTTATATGCAAGTACAATGTTAAAAGATATATCTACAATTGTCGTGAAAGTAGAGCAAATATATGTAAGTTTCAACCATACTTAAAAATCTAAAATAAATAAATATGCTATAAAAGATGCATATAATTTTTCTTTCATTATGATATATGTTTTCCATTTTGCTAATGTTTTTTTTTTTATCTTGAACATATTTGATAAGGGAACTAAATAAAAGTTAATTGACACTGAGATAGTAAACTTTTAAGTAATTGAGAAGTATTTACCTAATTAAAGTGCTTTAACTTATTATTGACAGCTAGCAAAATATTGTGACAATTTGCTCAAGAAAAGCACTAAAGGTGTTGGTGATGTAGAACTAGATGAGAAATTGTCAGGCAGCATAATCATTTTTAAATACTTGGACGATAAGGACGTCTTTCAAAGGGTAGGCACCAATTTATTATGTAATTCTTTTTCATGAATTGTCGGTGACTTATATATCATTTGTTTTTAATCCCTTTATTTTTTTAGAAGATATGGATGGGCAAAACTGCACTTCAAATCTATTCAAGTTATATTCTCTACAAAACTATAATATTTTATTAATTGCAGAGGCATTATTCAATTTAAGTGATAGCAAGGGTTCATAGTATATACAAATTATCATTAAAAATTCATTTGTCTTGTCACTTGTATATATTTTTCAGTTGTATAAAGATGGAAATATAAAATAATTATGTTTTATTGTCTGTCTCACCAGTTCTATTCACGTATGTTGGCAAAGCGTCTCATCTACAGTCAGTCAGCAAGCATGGATGCAGAGGAAAGTATGATCACAAGATTAAAGGTGAGTTACTTTGCAAAATTTATTTTTTAAAGACAAAAAACAAAACAGTGAATGTTATATATTAAGTGATGACATGTCGCTACAGGCCTGTTTACTCTTACGATTTTGGCGTACAATTTTAAGATGTGGTTTACGATTGTATGTCAATACCTGTCAACACTACGATTTTATTAGACTGATTTAAAAAATATATATTCCAGTGGTTTTAACGATTAAAAAATATATAAATTATTAATAAATAAAACGTTTTCTCTGGTTGTTAGTTTTAACTCCTTTCGATAGCCAGCGGTGCATGGACTGAGAAATACCATTGGCTGGGAATCATCCATAATTATATTACGTACTCAGATTGAAATGGGATGGTGTTTATTTGGAAGCATACTAGTGTGATGGGAGGGTTACGTGGGAATATTTTTAAAGGTTATAATATAACACAAATACGTTTTGTAATAATTGTTATATTGTTGCTTTGTGTTTCACAAGAAATTTGCTAGATACAACAACAGTAATGTTAAGCATATTCGTCCACCCTAGTGACAAATTTATTAAACATTAGTTTTTTTGTGACATAATTATTTCATTCTTCGGCTGAACAGCTGCGATTTTGAAAATGGAAAAACTACAGAATTTTTGGGGGGAAATGCATTCTCAACTGCATCACACAGCAGCGTTAATTTTTTTAATATTCTATAAGATGTAGTAAGCTGATCTGAAAACTATTCTTAGAAGTCATTAAGCAGCTGTAATTAGACTACAATGTGTTAACGGAAAAAAGTCAAGCTCATAGGGTTAGTGTAGGGGTGAGCAATTCACAACCAGCCATGTTAAATATTTTGGTACATATGAATTTATTTCTTCATTCAATCAGCGATTATTTTCATTTTTGGCATAAACGCCCATTTTTTGTTTGGCCGTACAGGCTTTTTTGGTTTTCCACGTTCCTTTTTAGACTGATTAAAAAAAAATAGATTAAAATAAGTAAATAACTGTTTTACTATTCTAGTAACTACTTAAAATAAAAAGGATTAATATAAACACAGCTTAGAAAGGGAAACCTAATTTTCCACAAGCATTACGATTAAGGGTAGAATGTTACAAAACTGTCCTCAGGTAAACACAAAAGTGCATCACTATATATTGAATTTATAAAAAAATTCTCTGCCTCCCACTAACCCCATTTTTGCACGGGTGACTTAAGCAGACATACTCATTTTTTTCCAATCCTCCCCCAACCACATCTTTGTATATCAAAGTGACAAATGATTGGCACCTTTTTATTTTCAATTGTGCACTGTATATAAATATATAAACATCAGTCATCTACTTTAAGACATGACCTCACTTTGACATGCACTGTATGTTTATTTATTTACTTTTAAAAACAGTATTGTGTTATTTTAAGATGGTTAAGTACTTTTCTGAGACTATATTGTACTATTTTGGAATTTCTAGTGTACCGGTATCCAGGTATGTCCCTATAAATCAGTGGTTCCCAAACGTTTAAGTTTGGCGGACTGGTGAACAAGTTTTGAAATTTTACCAGGGACCGGTGCATGATTTATTTTTATACTTTTATTTCTGTTTGACAATAAATATTTATGTTATGGGGACCGGCAGGGTTAGGCATGTGGACCGGTGAAGGTCCACGGACCGCCATTTGGGGACCACTGCTATAAACAACCAGACGTTTAAAAAAAAGGATCATGGTCCCAACAAGAAATTTGTGTACATTTACTATTAATACATAATTTGTTTGTTGGCTTGATGGATATAATTTATGGCTATTATATAGTGAAATTATAAAATGTCAAGACTTAAATATAACAAGTTATAATTTCTGCTCAATTTTTCAAACCACAGTTTATAATTACTAAATAATTTCAGCAAGCCTGTGGCTATGAATTCACCAACAAGCTTCATCGAATGTTTACAGACGTTAGTGTGAGCTATGACCATGTTGTGAACTTCAATGATTATCTCAAAGAGTTGAACACAACTTTAGGTGTCAATTTCAACATCCTAGTATTTCAGGTATGTTGATTATTTTTATATTATCATGAAACTCAAAACTACTGAAAATAAGAAGATAACTCACCAAAAAAAAAAGTCACTATTTTTAAGAATATATACTTATTTCTGTAGTCACTCAAATAAAAGCATGCAGCTGTCAAATGCAAACTTTCAATATTGTACTGATATGTGCAAATAGAGCAATACTGGATTGAGACAGTGCTTATGGTTTGATTTATGTACATTAATTACTTTGAAGCAGTTAAATGTGATTTCAAAAAAACAAAACAACAAAGTTTGCTCCCATGGAAATATTAAAAAATGTGTAGTTTGCACAGAATTTTTATTATTGTTTATGAAATCAAATTTAGAGAGAATTAATTGAATCTTTGTCAACAAGAATAGATCTTAGGTTTGATTTGCCAAATAATGTGAAGTTTACCTGATGGATTTGTTTCATATCTCTTTTAGGCAGGAGCATGGCCTATAACTCAACAGAATAACATTTCTTTTCACATACCACAACAGCTAGAAAAAAGTGTACGCTTGGTGAGTTAGCAAACAATATAGAGGTTTCTTAAATTTAGGTTAAAATCTAGAGCTATCCTTGAAATAAAATATGTAAATAAAATTCAAAATTTATTTAGGGATGATAGTTTTGGCATTTATTTTAAGAAATGTATTGTCATCAATTTAACATATAGACATTTTTAAAAATTCAGTTTGAAGAATTTTACAACAAAAAATTCAATGGACGGAAATTAACCTGGATGCAGGCCTTAAGTAATGGTAAGTATATTGTTAGATTCACAATGGTTAGGTAGGTTTTTGTCTATTTTAGATGTTTTGTCAACAAATGCATTTCTATATGGTAAATGTTCAAAATCTTTATTGAAACTCAAAATATTTATTGTAGTTTTGTTTTATTAGTATGTTATGTGGTTTTAACTTATTATTATTTTTTTTACAGTTGAACTGAAACTGTGTTACTTGAAAAAGTCATACATTGTGACTATGAGCACATTCCAGATGGCAACATTACTTCCTTTTGAAAATGCAGATTCCCTCCCCTTCTCTGACATCAGAACCAGTACTAATTTGCCAGAGAAAGAGCTTATTAAACAGTTGCAGACTCTTGTTGACACAAAAATCCTTAATTCAAAAGATGTGAGTTGCAATTATAAGTTCATTCCTAAATCCCAATGGATTTTAGTTAATTTACTTGTCTAATATAAATGTATGAGTTCCGAAATTATTTGTATCATTTTATTTTATTCTTTTCCCCCAGAACTTAGTTACTGAGAATTCAACTCTTTCATTAAATTTGGTTTATAACAACAAGCGAACAAAATTTAAAATAATGGCAGCAATCCAGAAAGAAACCCCTCAGGTGAAAGGTTTTTGCTTTTAGTTAGTAAATGATTAGGCATTTAAAATAATTCAGTGGGTTAGCAGTGTCTAAACAAAATTTTCTAGCATTTTATTTAACATTAAACATTTTTTATTTCATTATCTAAAACAGGCCTGCGCAACATATGGCCCGCGGGCCACATACGGCCCGTCAGCACCCACTTTGTGGCCCGCGAAGTAACGAAAAATTCTTTCTTCTTATTATTTTTTTAATAGCTTTATCCCCTATTCTATTTTCTTTTGGCCCACACAAGTCCTGTCCTATTTTCTTTTGGCCCGCACAAGTTTTTCATAAAGTATTACGGCCCGGCTTACATTTTCTGTTGTGCAGGCCTGATCTAAAACATTAATTTTTTTTTTTAACATGGAAAAAAATTCAATATGATATTTTCTATTACTACAGATTTGTAGGAAATAACTTATAAATTTATTGTGCAAATTTAAAATATAATTTGCGCATCAATTATCACAACATTATAATTTAAGTTTTTGTTATAACAGGAAGTAGAAAGCACTCATTCAGCAGTTGATGAAGATAGGAAGCTTTATCTGCAAGCAGCCATTGTGAGGATAATGAAAGCTAGAAAAGCTATTAAACACAATAATTTAATTCAGGAGGTAACTACATGATTTAAGCTTTATTTATTAATTTAAAATGTCAGTATTGTTAAACATGATTAATATGTTATGAGCTTTGAAACCTAACCTATATCACATCTTTGCAAACAAATATGTGATTGAATTACTATTATTGGTGTTTTATTATTTAAGATACAGCAAAATTAACATAATGTTATGTCAGATTTTAAAAATAATATCTCTGCACTGATATTTACAATAAATTTTGTCATATAATGCAGTTATGTGGGATTTTTTTTATCTTTATCAATGAAAATAATAACTGGTAGTAATTTATAAAAAAATGTTAGTAACAAGTAATCCCATTTTAAAAAGTAAGAATGGCATTTAAGCTCATTTTAATTGTTTATATTCTATTACTGTATTTACTGTATATTTGCAAACTGACTTTTACTTAGACTCATGTTAATTTTCCAAATAAATTAATACTAAATTCACAAAAGTCATTATTGATTTCTTTCAGGTAATTAGCCAAGCACGTAGTCGTTTCAACCCTAGCATTAGCATGATCAAGAAAAGTATTGAAACCCTGATAGAGAAAGCTTACCTGGAAAGAGTATCAGGCACAACAGATGAATATAGTTATATTGCATAAAAATGTCCTGTCAGTTCTAGTGATCTGGTTTGTTGATAGCTGGCTGCATTGAACTGTTAAAAATATCAGTTTTGTTTAGTTATTCCTTTTTTTTTTTTTTTTCCTTTCAAATATGCACCTTGAACTTAAGAATTAGCATTTGATGTGTTTATGGTACCGGTAACTAAAACAAACATCCGGTGTATGGTAACTAAATCATTTAAAAACAATTTTTCCGTGACTTGAATTTGTGACAGGTATAATGAATAATTATTGAAGACAGTTAGATTTGTAAAAAAGTAAAAAATTATAGCATTACTTTTATAATTTTTTCTCCAATTGTGATATCTACTTGTCTTGCATTCAACAATTGAAAACGGCAGATTCATGATGAACTTTTGTTGATGCGTTTTGTTTTTTGTGGTTTTTTTTTGGTAAACCTTAAATTTTATCTGAGCATCAAGATTCTATTGTGGCATTTTTGCCTTATTTATAAAAACTAGTTTTATTTTTTTAAAAAAAGATAAAACTATGTTCATAATTTATTTCCAAATGAGAAACAAAAATGTTTTAACAATTTTGGATACTTTACGCCTAAATTATATATCCTATATATAAAAATGTCTACCTACCATCATTATAATATTGTTTTATCCTAAATGATATTTTAATGTTTAACTCATTAACTACCATGAGCTGCTGCCAGTAACTCTGTGTAAGTGTAACCATAGCATCAAGTTACATGCAAAAATAAAATACATTTTTTAACATGCTAAATACCTATGAGTCTAAAATAATACCATTGTTTTAGATCCTGGATTTTTCATATTTTAAAAATGTCTTTTAGGGCAGTGTGCAATATATCTTGAGTCTACATTTTAAAAAATAAATAAGATATTATTTGCAGTGATTAATTGATAGGAAATAAGTAGCTATTGGTATTATTTAATTTTTAATTTTTTTTTAATCATTCATTGAATATACACCAGCTAATTTCTAAGTTTAATTTGATGCAATGGTGCATTTTTTTGGTGCTAATTCTGTTTTAATTTTTTTCCATATGCCATGAATCAATGTGAGAATTATGATTAAATAAACATCCTTAGTTTAAAGCTTAAATCATTGACCTTTAAATTGCTACACCCACAGTTATAGCAGCTGAAATTAATTCTACAGCAGCATATTTTCATTTGGGTAGTTAATGAGTTAAAACAGGTTGAATCTGTAGTTAACTTTAGGATTTTTTTTTCTTGGGTTGGGTTTTATTAAATGAGTAAATTAAAGTGCATTAATTGCCCTGCTGTAAAAACTTTTAAACATAAAAATTGACATGTTTGGTTTCTCGAAACATGAATCTATTATTAATAAAGAGCAATTGAAGAATCGTAAACTTCCCTGGTTGCAGTTAATTATTGAATGTTCTATTTTTGGATCAAAAGAATCCAATCAGGACTACTGAAATTAATATACCTAGACTCAACTGAATTGGCAATCATTAAAGGGCAGGTCAATATATCAAGAAAGTGTTTTTTTGGTAGAAGTATTTCTTATTTTATACTACCGATTTGTGAGCTGTGATTTAAAAATGACTATTTCCAACAGAAGCATCTGAGCTAATAAAGACTGACATAGTGAAGGTAATTAAGATATGAATGTTTACTTTGCTTTTGTTCAAGTTAATGGACAAAAGATGTTTGGGTTTCTCTGCCAGTGGCTGTAACTTTAGATTGTTAGTCCTAATTTTCCTGAAACGAAATCTTTAACAGTGCATTTATTTTTCCAAAAGTAGTGTATGCTGTTCTTTTTTTTAGCAGACATTACCAGTTATTGTTAATGTTATTAAGTTGTTTGAAAATGTAAAGTCTTAGGAGGTATAAATGGGTAGCTGCATGATCAGCATTGTATGCAAGATGAGGGACATAAAAGGAGTGAAATGAATTATTGAAGTGATTGATTGATTAAAAATATGTGCGGTCTTTAAATGAGTAGAATTGTGTAAATATTTTATGAAGCATTTTCTGCTGCATTGTAATAAATTAAAGAGACTGATATGTTTTATTTCCTATGAAATATGTTTTCTTTTGTTTTTAAAAACTTTTTATTTACACTGTGAATGACATGATATCCATATATGACATAACACTATTCAGTCAATCAAGTTATGAAAGCAGGCATGGACTCCATGTTATCATTTTTATTTATAGTGAACATGTGATCACATAGATTTATCTCTAAGTGTCGACATACCATAGTATAAAAAAATAATTAATTGTTGAACAAAACTTGATTCACGCTTACCCTTCTAATTAAGATTCTTTCCATTTGTGAAATTTGATTATATTTTTTATGTAACTGGTTGATTTCAAACAAAAATTTTGGCATAATCCTGCTTTCAAGAAAAATGACAAATGCAAAAGTTTCAAAATTCAAAACTTACGTAATTTTCACAAAAGTAATTGTTTGTTTTTTAATAATAGAGGTGTAAATACATTATTACACTTACAATGTCAAGCTTCATTCTATTGAAAACAAAATAGATAACTAACATTTGGAATTGTAAAGCTGCAGAATAGGTCAAAGTAACTTTAGTGGGCAACAACCTTATAAAACAAAGTTTAACACAAAATCATAACTGTAAGAATCAGTACTTATTTTAATGATTGCTAACAGATAAATGAAGAGTGCCTGGGTGTATCAAGAAAAACAAATACAATTTTTTTTTTCCTTAAATCATTTTCTTCTTGGTTTCTGTAATAACATAAAGGGGGATTTTAATTAAAGACTGATTAGATCCAGGGGGAAAATTATGATTTTTTTAAAAATTAAGAATCGATTTTGTTTAAAAGAAACTAAATGTATAATAACATTTAAAAACTTTAAAAATAGTGATTTAAGTCAAGTGTTGGAAATGCCAACATATTTACAAAGTCAATTTTTGTTTTAGACTTTCTCTTAAAAGATCCTTGGGTCAAGCAAAAGGTCAAAGACAGAAGGATGGATATTGCACTGGTAAACAAAAATGATTATAAATGGCATAGAATTATGCAGATCTAGATATCATATTAGTTTCACTATACATTTGATGTGAAAAATGAATGGATTAGACAAAAACATGATTTTTATATAAATTTTGGCAAGAACTAGGATGAGATAAATTTTAGGAAGAGGGTGGGAGGGGGTGGGGTGTTAAGATAATTCATACATATATGAATACAATTATCTACTTTTCAAACCAAAAAAAATTACTTCAGAAAATATTCTATAAGAACAATTGCACAAATGGACTGAAAAGCTTTGGAAAATAAATTTACAAATTTTTAAAAAAATTAACTGCAGCTAATTCCTTGCTCTCCACTTCAGTAAATAATTTCAAAATAGAAAAAGTTTATAGGAGATTGAGCACAATATGAGACATCTACTCAAAGTACTTCAAAAATTATGAGGAGAAAAAAAAGTATAATTTCAGGAGCAAAAATTTCTTAACATTGCATAAGTCTTGAGCCCAATTAAGGTTCCATCTGAACATTTTGTGATAAGACAAAAATAATGCAACTGTTTAAGCAAGAATAGATACACAAGTCACAGACATATCACAAAAGCATGGATGAGGCTTCATATATACAACACTAAGAGCAAGCAAAAGTCATTTTACCTTCAAACTAAATATTGTAATGAAATTGAAAACTTTATTTTTTTAAAATTTGTGCTTGATCCCTATGGCATTGTGATCATGAGTTTAACTGATTGATATATCATTTAATTAAGGTCTTTGAAATCCAAAGACCTGGTGCTGATTCTTTTATTGAAAAAATGGAACAAGTTATCAAAACATAAAATAATTAATAAGGTAGATTATTTATGATAAAAACTAGCACTCATGTAAAATTAACCTCAGAGCCATTTTATTTTAAATAAAAAAAGTTTAATTTAAAGGATTTCTTTATGTGACCTATGAAGAAAACATAAGTAACAACTTAACTTTCCAACTTCAAGGACATCTATATCAGATTATTCTTACAAAATAATTAGAGCAGATTGTGGTGATACGCTAAAACATGACACTGAAATAGATTTTTGGGTTTTCTTGATGATGCTAGCTAAGACTAAGATTAAAACAAAATTATTGTCTCTGATGTGACATACATAGAGCAGGGTTGTCAAGCAACCCAAAAGGCCTCATGGGAATAATACAATGGCCAAAAAGATGCAACACACCTACAATTTATCTTTATTTACCACAAATCTCTCAATGTGCTACATGAAAAAGATTAAAGGGCTGCCTTTGGCCTGGGATTTTATGATCACTGAAATAGGGTGTTCTTTGCATGACACAAACCACTAAACCATGCCTTGTTTGCTAATTTCTTGAAAACACAAGTTATTCTAAAGCCATAATTTTTGTTATAGTAAATCAAGCGCGTAATCAATAATTGATTAGCTTGTCAAAAAACCAAAGAAAGTTGTGGTGTCAAATGCTAGAGAAAACAAAAGAGTGACATTAGTCACAACACAATATATATATATATACAAACATACCCAGGAGCAATAAGTTGAAATACAAATTTGAATGACTTTACAATAGTAAATGATAACGCCAGCAATTTTAAAACAAAATAGTAAATGCATTTGACTAGAGAACCATGGAAAATTCCCATTGTAAAAATCAATTATTACACATCATTTTTTTTCCTTCATAGAGTTGGGGGTTTGTTAGTAAATTTCTTGATAAGGTAAGAGTTAAATCTTAAGAGTCATTTTACCTCTAATTTAATTATTGATTGTAAATAATCGTTGAAACTTAGACATACTAGCTTAATTAATCCTGCTTTCAAGAAAAATGGCAAATAGAAAAGTTACAAATTGCAATAATGCTGTTATTTTCACAATCCTGACTTCAGGTTTTGCTTTCATAAACTAACTAAACTTTCAGAATAGGTTTATATTAGCAAGTGAATTTTGTCTCTTTTGACGTGGTCAATTAGCCATCACCTTTTCTCTAGTCAATTAGTTGTATGATTGACAATTACTAACTTATCAATCTTTCGTACCAATTCTGCAATCCCCACTGCTTAGAGATATTTATGTAAAGCCTACTGTTTGCCAGTTACTTTTATAGAAGAAATGTATTTCCAATATTTTGCTTTGAAGAGTAGAAACTTTTTTTGATATATTGGTAGTAAATTTTAAATGCAAAAGTTTTGGCATTTTTGTATAAAAAATTTCTGAAAATTTTAAAACACTCTTTTTGTTTAAATTAAAAGTAGGGTTTCATAAATGAAATATTTTGAGAATCACATAAATAAAGTGCTTTAAATTCAGATTTAATGACATGTTGGCCCATTCTGCATTTTTATTAATATAATTTAAATTTTGTATATGGTTGTTCTTGAGATGCACCAAGTTTAAGTCAGCATTTTTTGTAACCCTTTTGTTTTGAAAAAGCTTTTAAAAAAAAAAAAAAACTGAACATCATCTACAAATACTAACATTTGAGAATGCAAAGTTTCCTCAATTATCTATTAAATATTCTTAAATTAGGTTGTTCACATCAAGAAATCAATCAGCGACAATTTGTATGTCAATGTTCATGATTAAATATTCTAATGGTATATAGTATTCAATACATAAACAAAACTACATCACCAATAATATAGTATTATATGTAGTACAAATTACATAGAAAACTAGATATACTTGTAAAATTTCCATCATATAATTGGTTCTCAATATTGGTATATTTGATAGTCTGTGCTTATGAAATACTAATTTTATTGTAGATCCATCATTACTATTGGAAAAAAAAAAATGAAGACCTTCATAAAATTACTGAGTACTAGATGTTCCAGACTTTTCAGAGCGAGAAAAGTGAATTTCATTAACATTGATTATAAAATATATTGCAAATTTATCATGTTGTTCAATTTCTCCTTTCAACAGTGAAACCTTAAATTATATTCAATTTAAAAAGTATACAAAAAAATTTTTTAAGTAATTTGCATAGCCCTATAATACTGACATAGTGTTTTTTCAAAAGTTATTTAACTTCCTCCTTGGCTGGCATTCAGGCTTTTTTTCTTTAGTCCTTAGATTTTTATTATAGGAAAGCCAAAATTTCACCAGGTTATGCAGTTAAATATCCATTTTCTTTTTGTGCTTTGTTTATCACTTTGTAATTTCACTAAATGTGTTTATTAGAAGCAATTGAGGAGTTCAAGTAAATGGATGTTTTTCATGTTCATTACAAAAGTATTTTTACAACTTTGGTTAAATAAATATAAAAATGGGGAGGATATACCTGTCATACAATATATACTTTAAAAAAAAACTCTGCCATGTTACTAAGAACAGAAAAGTAAAATATACATCTGTGCTGAAGTTGATGAGATAATGCTTAGCAAGTCATGTACTGTGCTTTCAGAGTACAATAAATAGTATTTAATACAACATATAGAACAAATTAGCATTTAATATTTTGTATGATTTGAATAATCCAATAGAAAACCAAACTGATATATGTCAACATGTAAGAAAGTAACAAGAATAAATTAATAGAGATGAGAGAAGTATGTTGAACATCAATGTAATTCTGATCCCTGCATCCTGTCTAATCCATTATACAGTAAGTTTTTTTTTTTAAATAATTGATTGTTCATTATTGGAATTTTCCAAATGGAACAGAACAATGTCATGTGATATCCTTTTTTTTTTGTATTGTTTTTTTTTGTATAACACAGACATCATGGTGACTGAAAAAATGTGTCCACACAGGAAGGATGAAAGTTAAAAGCATTCTGCATCTTACAGTTAATGATTGGAAAGCTGAGTATCTTTGGATCGTTTGGGGGGTGGAGGGGGAGGTTTGGGTTTCTTCCCTGTACAGGAAGTTCTTTGTTGGTCACATTCTGTTGCAGGGAAATCCATGAGAAGCTCTGGCGGAGGGGGCGGCAGCTCATCAATATCCATAATGCCATCGAAATTTTCATAAATTGGATCATGAATAGGTGGAACAGCTCCGTTTTGTATATTCTCAGAAAGTTGCTGCTGCTGCTTGGCCAATTCTGCAGATAAACGTGTATTTTCACTGCGCTTTGGTGGGGGTGGTGGAGCAGATTTTTTATCCCCTCTGCCAACTACCCCACCAGCAGAAGCTGATCTGCGATGTTGCTGAGCTGAGGAAGATGGTTGCCCATTTCTGAACTCTACATTTGAGTTTTCTTCCCCTAAATCTGAGTAATTTCTCTTGGAAAGTTCAGACAAGAATGGTAAGGAAGGCGACTGTGGTGGACAGCTAGCCAGTTCTTCACTTGATACATTTTGTCTGCTGTTAAATTTTGCCTTTGAGAGATCAGATTGGCCATTTTGTTTTCTACTCTGTAAATCTCCTGGGGTGGGTGTTGATGGCGATTGTGACTTTGCATTGTTTCCTAAAGCACATGATGTGGCATGTGATGACTTGGGCAAAGTTGGGGGTGGAAGCTTAGGTGTTATCGGCGGCATGGGTGGAGGGATGGGAACATGAAGAGGGGAGCCTGACACTGAATCCACCCCTGAACGGGAGGAGCAGGTGGATTCATTGCTGGATAAACGCATTGGGGGTGGCGGTGGATGTTTCGGAAGCACTGAAGGGAGAGTGGATGAGCCGTTGCTGATGGATTGGTTACTCAGAGGTTTGGGAAGGGTTGCAGGGGGCGATGACTTCAGATGATTTGGATGTGCTGATAAAGCTGCAGAGCCACAGTGAAGCTCGTGAATTTTTTGATTGTCCGCTGTTTGAATGTTTGCTCCCGCTGACCCGTTTGCTGATGGCGGAGGGGGAGGGGGTGGTACTTGCATAGACTGTACATGAACAGGTGGGGGCGGGGGTGGAGTTGTTTCATGATTTGGATGAGAGAATGAGGGTATATGGGTGCTGCCCCCTTCCCTGAACTGTGGTGGTGGTGGAGGTGGTATGCCGGAATTATCACTAGAAGCTTTGGCTGGTCGTATTGTTGTGGGGCTCCTGATTTGATTGTACAGTGGTTCTGGGTGGGTTTGGTCATTGGTATATGAATATGTCCACTCCAATCCCTCCATGTCTTTTTCTTCTCTGAGAGGAGAGTAGACGGGTGAGTAGCCAGAACTGGATGATTCTTCCTTGCCTGTTGCAATGATGGCTGCAACTGAAGGTTCACTTTTTCGTCTCACATGTTGATAAGGGCCCTCGCCTGGCCCAGGACTGCTTTGCTTGACACGAGCTGGCGCTGTTTGTGCCCCGCTGTCCAGGGAGTGTTGTTTAAGAGATGGTGATAGTGGAGTATGTTTGGCATGCGTACTACGTTGACTATTTTCTGAACCAGCTGACCCACATGAACCTCTGCGCTCTTGCATTGAGGCTCGACGTCTGTCATTTCTAGCAAAAGATGCTGAAGAACTGCCTCTGTGATGTGTCTCTGCATAAATAGCCTCTGCGTTCTCATCCATTGTCACGTTGCACATGTCTGCAAGCTGCCTTGTGGTCTCTGTGGTAACAGGAAGCCTTGGTCTCATTTTTCCTCTGAAGCTAGCTCCAGGTCTGATTTCACCACTCGAGTTCGAGTCTTCACTGGAATCAGTTGAAGCACTGATGATGGAGTCCCTGTGCTTGACAACTTGTTCCACAGAGTCCCCATTGATTATGCTGTGAGTGGCACTAAATGACACACGTTTAACTGGAGTTTTATGACCTGACTCAGACACACTGGATCCTATGGATGAGCTACCAACCGAACCACTCAATGATCTGTTACAAAGTAAAAAAAAAAAACATTTAGAAATATTATGAAGCGCTCAGTAAAATGTCACTTTCAAAATGTATGGGGAAACAAATTTAGGGCATGTTACTTGAACTTTAATAATTGACTGGATGATGTTGCAACTAAGCCATGAGCCAATTATAAAAGAGAGATTTCCTCATACCATGAAACTGGTCTCAAATCTTTGATTCAATAAATTATTTAATCATTTAATTAAAATCTGTTCTAAGAAGACTTATCCTGTTTTATTAAAACTATATCAACAGCAAAACAACATTGGCAAAGAATTATAGTTTTTTAAGTTAATGATATCTTTCATTATTTATTATATTGAACAATAAGAAACAAAGTCTGTGCAATAATTAAAAAAAAATTTTTTGTTTAAAAACAGCAAATGGTGAATGCAGCAACACCAAATATTTGTTCAGGCAAAGTATTATTAGTTTTTATATATTGAAATTATTTCAAGGGGCTAAGAAGTCATCGAACATATTTTTTTTTAGGGTAGTGACTACCAAATACCTCTCTCTGATATATTGTTTCAGGATCATAAATTTGTTTTTATCAAATTGCTTTGAATCTCTAAATAGTACGTACAGTTAACTGTCACTTAGATCATAACAAAATGGATGTCAAACTCACCTTCCATCCGAACCCATTCCAGATTCTGAGCCTTTCCTTGGAGGGATGGCTAAAACTTCAATGCTTATCACATCTCTGGTATTCTCATTAACACCAGATGTAGAGTTGCGAATGAGAGACGTGTTGTGTACCTGGATTACAGAATGTCTAGCACCAGGTTCTGGAACTGACATGCGGCTGTCACTCAGGTCAGCATGGTTTAACATTTGGCAGACGGCTTCATCGGCGGCCATTCCACCAGGCTCAGGTTGTCTAAGGTCCCACATTGAGATTTCATGAGTGAGACGCTCATAGTTGTGTAACATCTGCTTGCCAATCTGGCATTGGAAGAAGACAGATTAAATTAAGGTGAAATTTATAATTTTTCAAAATATACTTAAAATTCCTATTACAAGAAAATTTGAATTAAATGTTGTTGCACAAAAACTATTTATATTATTAGATTCATTTAACAATTTCGGATGGGAAATAATGTGAAATAATTGCATTAGAAACTTAGTTGTCTTTGTAGCATAAAAATTTCAATTTAGTATTTGTAGCCCACAATTATCTCTCAAAAATGTAGAATCTTGATCAAACAGTTATTAAGTAAAAAAGATTACTTGTGATTCAAACAAAACTTTCTTACTTTTACTATTCTCACACCCATGACCCACTGGTCCAGTGCTATTTCAGTCTCTACACAGAAATAACGAATGTACTTTGATGTTTTCTTCTGTATCTGCGGATGCTGGAAGAAAAAATTAAAATTTTTTTACATCTTTTGTATAGATCTATTGTAGTAATATAGATAAATTTAGGTATGAAATTTCATCATCAAAAACCAAATAAAAAGAAAATCAGGGTAATGGATTCAAGGAGATAAAAGGTACAATATTTGCATACCTTTAGAGCGAAACAAAAATCTGTTGGTGCATGATATTTTTTCTTCCATCCAATGCCCCTGTAAACCTCCACATATTCAAACTGTACCAGACAAACAAGATCTTTTGGATTCTGTGGGGGATACAATAATTTATTGATAAATGCTAATCTGACGTCAAACTATACATACATATCTACCATCAAACCATACATACATATCTACCATCAAATTCTACAAACATATCTACCATCAAACTCTACATATATATCTACAACAAAACTGTACTTACAAATCTACCATCAAACTCTACATATATATCTAATATCTAACATCAAACTATACAGATATATCTACCATCAAACTATACATACATATCTACCATCAAACTCTACGTACATATCAACCATCAAACTCTACACATATATGTACCATAACACTGTACATACATATCTACCATCAAACTCTAAATATATATATGCCATAACACTGTATATACATATCTACCATCAAATTCTACATACATATCTACCACACTGTAAATACAGGTCTACCACAAAATTTGATCTCTTTGCTAACGCCTCCAATAACTACAGCCTTGCCATCAATATGAAAATTAACAGATATCTTGCACCAGCCAGCTCCAGGAGAAGCTCACAAAGAACCTAAAATATATAAGGGACAGAATCTCCAAGCAGTGGAAAAATTCACATTTTTGTGCCGCACCCTCTTCAGGTCAGTAACAATCGATGATAAGATCAACAAGTGAATTTCCAAAGCCAAAGTTGCATTTGGAAGGCTCCACAGGAATGTTTGAGAGCAAGAGGTCTCAGTCTTGTCACTAAGTTGAAAGTATATGGCGTTGAAAGTATATGGCGCTATCATATTAACATCTCTCCTATATGCTAGCTAGACTTGGACAGTGTCAGCAGACATACTAAGACAGCTAAACCATCTCCACCTATGCTGTCTACATAAACCAATTGGCATAAGGTGGCAGGACAAAGCACCTGATACACAAGTCCTAGAATGGGCTGACTTTATCAGCATCCACTGGTTCCTACAAATCAACTAATGTTTGGTGAACTCTCCAGTGTGAAAGGCTCAGAGGTGGGCAGAAAAAAGGCCTCAAGTACTATCTAAAAGCTTCACTCAAATCCATGGACATTGACCTTGATTCATGGGAAACACTCATTATGGATCTTACAAGCTGGCGATGCAGAGAATAAGAGCACAGCAAGTAAAAGCAGAATGGATTCAAATCCAACTATGACCCAAAACATGTGTCCTACATGCGGGAAAGCTTTCCAGGCACAAATGGGATTGGCAAACCACTGTTGAACATAGCCTTGGACTATCAACAACAACAAAGAACCACAAAACTGTACATACATTTCAACCACAAACCTCTGCATACATATCTACCACAAAGTTGTACATACATATCTACCACCATACTATACATACATATCTACCACACTCTACATACATATCTACCACCAAACTATACATACATATCTACCACACTCTACATACATATCTACCAAAATCTACAAACATATCTACCAAACTCTACCATACTGACAAAATATATACACATATAGCCTTACTAGACATGAGTATCTACCACTAAACTTTACCTGCATAACTTCTGCTAAAATAGACATATCTATAACTGAACTATTTACACATTTCCATTGTTAAATTATACATGTATAAATTAAAACAAAATAATCTCACTAACAATGACATCTAAAATAATGTCTTAGTGTTAAATCCACCTCTTGACCAAGGTCAACTTAAAGCTACTTAATGTGTAACCATCTCAGGAATGGGACTTACCTTGCTAGAGACTAAGGTCAACTCAAAAGCTACTTAACCTGTAACATTTTCAGGAATGGGACTTACCTTGCTAGCTTTACCCTTTGGATTGTAGTACAACCCAGAGGCTCTCAAAACAAAGAAGAATTTTTTCCAGGCCTTTTTACCATCAGATTTAAGGTAAAGTGCACCTTCCATTGTTGGAACACAGACACTGTCTGGACAGAAAAACTCCTAAGACAAATAATAATAAAAATTATATAATAACATAAACAAAAAAGCTTCCATTACATTATAATTCAAATGATGAATTTAAGATCTGACTAATACTGAACTTATGGTTTACATAAATTTTGATAGCATATTCCAACAGAGCTCTGTGAACTTTGCAATGATCTCATGGTTACTAATATAAAATGTGCAAATAACTTTCTACAGCCAACATTAAAAAGTTGGTTTTGAGACATAATTAGATTGGTATATAGTAATAGAAGGGCAACAAAAAAATTATATATTTCATTCCCTCACTAATTAAATATTTGAACTGGTACCTGAATAAGTTTATCCTTTTGTGCAGGTGCAAGAGGACCTTGCTTCATTGCGGTAGGACTCAGCAAATATTTCTATAGAAAAAAAATACAACAAAGATTTCTCAGCATATTAATATTCAATTTGCAGCATGCTCAAGGACATTGTTGATTTCAACATGCTCAAGGACATTGTTGATTTCAACATGCTCAAGGACATTGTTGATTTCAACATGCTCAAGGACATTGTTGATTTCAACATGCTCAAGGACATTGTTGATTTCAACTTGGTTCATGTATAAGGTAAATAAGGTAACTGAACAGCTTAACTCTATCATTTTACTGTCGACTTTATTTGCTGTATACCTCAGGATTTCTGAAGAGGTCATATTTGTCCATCCTCTCCTGAAACATAACCTTGTTCTTAGAATCTCTAGTCCACATTACCATATTTTCTACCAGTGAGTCGTGATCCTCCAAAATTCGTTCTGTGGAATATAACCAGATAATATGTACATCAAACAATAAAAAAAACCACATACATATTAATATGATGCACTGATATGATATTTGTTTTTCTTGAAATTTATTTCAATCCGCAGATTTGACAATTAAACTTTTAAACATAATTCCACTTTATTGATCAAGATTCTTCATGATGAAACAAATATGTAGAAATAATTCCACGCCATACTTCAGTGGATAAGTATTGAATTGCTTTTAAATTTACCAAAACTAGATGAGACTTAAATTCCAAAGAAGTGATTTACCAATAATTAAAAATCAAGTAAATAAAAACTGACAATAATGACATACCCATAAGCAGCTCCGGCATGTACTCAACTACAGAAAGCTTGTGGTTCAGCCTGACATGATTCTTGTCCGCCAGCTGACTACATACCTGAGCCACACTCATCTTCTCATCCACTAAGATGCTCTTGCTGCTTCCATCTTTAGCAAAAGCCCTCACAAATAACTTGGAAATCAAAGAACGGCTCAAATTAGTTGGTGCGCACATGCTTTAGTTCTTATGGCGTTAGTTAAGTTGTAAAAAGTGTGGTGGCTTTTTGTTATAAAATCATTTTCAAATACAGTAGCGATTTTTAAGCTTTTAGCTAGTCTTGAATAACACATACTTATACAAAGTGGAAATTCACATTCTGTAGACAGTGGCTTAAATGAGAGGCTGGTCAGTTTGATCATTTATTTTCCTTATACAGCACCCATGTAAAACTACAAATAAATGTTTCCACAAACAATCTATCTCATCTGTTTGAAATGATGTATGACATACAATTATTTTATAATTAAGGTGGAAACATGCAGATTTTTACAAATCCCAATTTAAACATTCCAAACATGAGCAAATCAGAGCATCAACCAACTCACACCCATCATCATTTACTTAAGTTCCATGGGTGGTTATCACCAAAGTGAGAGAGAAAAAAAATATGGGAAATGTGGGACAGACTGATAAGTATAGCCTCAGCTTGCTTTACCTTCCTTATCTTTGCCTCCTTGATTTTCTCTAACGCAATGCGAATTTTCTCCGCTTTCGTTTGTGCTATCTGTTCTTCCTGTTAAATAAAAAAAAAAAATTGGAAAACATAAATTTTAGATATATCATTGATAAGAAATAATTTACATGGAGCATACAAGTGATGCAAGCATTAATAAGTGTGTGTGTGAATGAATATAACTATCCAGGCTGTGGAAAATAGCATGGTAGAATTAGAAGGAAGTGATGGGAGAAAACATTCACAAGAAATTAACAAGTATAAGTAAACACCATTTCCTTAGGATTCATGTGTTTGTAACTTAGCAACAGTAGCCATTATTAACATTTAAAAGAAATATAAGCCAGTGGTTTTCAAGCGAGGTTACCAATGGTGAAGCCAAATTTTAAACTAAAAAGCACTGAACCAAAAATACATCCTTTATTATTTGAATTTATAATTTTCTAAAATTCCAAATTTCTCTACTATGTTCTTTACTCGTTATCTGGGCTTGTCAAACAATCCATGGAACAAGAGATAAATATATTAAAATTCTTACATGTGAAGTTCATCTCAATATGTTGTACTATGGAATAACCGTTCATAGCCAGTCACAAAGACAATTAAATTAGAAATATTGTAGTGAGTCAACTATCCAAAATTTTTATAACGGGTGTTTTGTTTAACCAATTTTTCAGACAACCCAACACTCCCACAGTTGCGTTAAAAAGTTAGTGCATATAATACAATATAGTCTTACAATATTCATGGATTATGCTTTATGTACAAAGTATGATGTACGGTAATCATCAATGGTATATTGGGGTCAATTGATTGATGGTGTCAAAAACCAGGAAGGACAGAATTATTTTTTCTGCAAATAGAGGTGATTTAAAAAAGCAGGTTTCAGTGCTTAGGTTAAAATCTGAGCTCACTTTGTGTATTGGGAGATACCGGTAAATATTAATGAACAATTTTGCAGATTGCATTATCCGAGTCTAGTACAGTAAGTATGTAGATGTTATCTGGGTTGTGGGACGTGAGTTTAACTTGTTTTCCAGTGTTTGTTAATTAAACGCAGTGCTCCCTGCCATCCACATTGCTTGCCATAGTCATTTTGAAAAAAAACCAGGGATAACCGACGTTTCTGGCATATGGAAAATCGACCTGTAACCTTAATGGATAACCTACAATAGATCTGTTTTGAATTTTTTTTTTTTTTAAACAAACAATAGAATTTAGCGCATGAGGAAAACCTTATGATATCTGAACATAGAAGTATAGCTTCCTATC